TTTTAAATGATTTTTAGATGATTTTAGATGATTTTAACTGATTTTAAATGATTTTAAATGATTTTAAATGATTTTAAATGATTTTAAATGATTTTAAATGATTTTAACTAATTTTAGATCATCTCTAAATACAAATGTTTTCCTTTTTTTGTCTAAAATAGTTTAGTAAAGCTTTACTTTTGTCTATTGAAATTTTTAGTTTAAAACTCGTTTCCGATCTCATCGAAACCTTGAACTTGAGGGGGAAACTGGGGAAATTTACATAAATGTTTCCCTAGAACTGGTTACAGGATGAATGGTCAACGAAAAGAAAAAAGGGGAAATGAATGAACGGCTGAATGAGCATCGAAAGGGGGATTGACCAGAGGAAGCAGGGAAATCCCAATCTCCGCACCCAATAATCTACCCATCCTCTTCCCCTTTCCACTCCTGATCCACCATATATCCCAATACCAATACAATACTCAATCCGGTGACAGGCTCAGCTCCAATTTTCTCTCTTTGACAGAGCTTTGAAAATCATCTATTTGATCTAAAGTTAAGTTAGGTTTTGCTAGTTTGGCGTCGTTGGTTTGATTGATTTGGTTTTGATCTTTTTTTTGATCTTTGGTTTGATCTAGCTTAGTTTGATCTAGCTATGAGTTAGCTATGCTTTAGTTTAGCTAACTTCACTGATTTGTCTATGATTTGATTCTGATGATCTCACCAATATAATTTTCCATTTGATGACAGGATTCAATCCAACTCCAACTTCAATCTCTCTTTGATTCAAAAATCTAAACTTTTATTGTTTTTGACTATGATTGGAAAGCAAATATCTCTTTTCGGAAACTGCCATATTATTGAATACAGCTTATTTGATGTCATAGAAAAAATGGATGCTGTATTCTCTCTAATAATAATGCAACCTAAGCTTCGCTTAAATTCCTCGAAATCTCGAAAAGCGCTTATCAGAACCTATCGATGTGGGGTCGGAAAATGTAGCTGACGATGAGATCTAGTGGGGGATTGGAGGGTTGAGCTTCTGTGAAGAACTTGGAAACCATAAAATAGTGATTAACTCGGCTTGGCGAGGTGCATTACTATAAGAGAAAATACGGTAATAGCTTTGGATTTAGCTCTACTATTTGGCTGTGATTTGGTGCATTAATTAGCTACGATTTGTCTATTATTTGTCTATGATTTAATTCTCATGATCTCGCCAATATAATGTTCCATTTGTTAGACAGGATTCAATCCAACTTTTCAATCCATTCAATCCAACTCCAACTTCAAACTCTCTTTGATACAATTTGAGGATTTTTTGAACTTTAATTATCTTTGATTGGAAAGCAAATTTTTCCTATCGTCTCCTTGAAAGCAGCTTGTCTGATGTCACAGAAAAAAAAAAGTGGGTAATAGCTGTGGATTTAGCTTCATAAAGCTTTAAATTCAAATGGGAATTGAAATTGAAGCAATTGCAATTAACAATTACAAATTAATTCAAATTTTCTTCTTCTGATCAATTTCTAATTTAGATTTTCTTTTTTCTGATCAGCTTCCAGTTTTTCTGTTAATTCAACTCAAAAAATCCTCTATTTTCATGAAATTTAAGCAATCTACAATACTGAAATTTGCATTTATACATCATATTCAAATTCCAAGGGTAATTTCATGCAAAGCCTGTACCCCGGTCAAGCAAATCTCTTGGATAAGCTGAAAATTAGCGATAGATAGAAATACCCAGCTGAAGTTGTTGAAAAGATGTGGAGAAATGATGATCGAACGGGTTCTCTCGCATCATTTCCTTTTTTTACTTTCTTTGCTTTGCTTTGCTTTGCATTTCTTTCCTTTCCTTTCCCTTCAACCATTCTCTTCAACCATTCTCTTCACTAATTCCCCTCATCCATGTGTGAGAGATAAAACAGAGTAGAGCTTCAATCTCTCAATCTCCCTTCTTCCCCATCTCTTTCCAGATCTGATGTTCACTTTCATTTTGACTTTTGTCTACAATATTGTACTAGATTTGTTCTTAGAATACTTTCAACTCAAAACTTAAAGCTAGAAAGCAAAAGAAGCTAGAAAGCTAACAGCTAACAGCTAACAGCTAACATCTAACATCTAACAGCTAACATCTAACATCTAACAGCTAACAGCTAACAGCTAACAGCTAACAGCTAACAGCTAACATCTAACATCTAACAGCTAACATCTAACATCTAACAGCTAACAACTAACAGCTAACAGCTAACATCTAACAGCTAACAGCTAACTAGAAACACATCTTTTCTAGTTCAACTTGTTCTCTTTGTTTTATTTTGAGTTCAAACCTAGAAACACATCCTTTCTGATACAGTTTGATCTTGCATTTCTCTTCAATTTCTCATTTTTTTCTGACAAATTTTTCATATTTCGTTTTTCGTTTAGTTAAAGGAGGTTTGAAGAGAATGGCTATCAATTAAACTTACCGATTTGAACCCAAAACTTTTTGCACAGTCATAACAAGAAGCTCAACTGACTATACTACAAAGAAATGAAACTTATACAAGTCTAAAATGTTCTCAGTATCGTTAAGATGTCTAATCCCTAATGTATAACAAGTTTCTCATTAATTTCAATGATTCACTCACTTCTTCACAAATCCATTTCAATTCCATTCCATTCTTCGATTCCGAATATCTCATTTCAATCACGAGCTTTCCATTGAATGAGAGCATTTGTGCCCCGTTCGCATCGTTCATTGTCACTTCTTTTCCCCTTCTTCAACTCTTTTTTTCATTTCAAGGTCATCCCTCCAAAACCTTTCTTTATCCTTTTCTCACCCGTTTCATATATGCAAATTCGGTCTCGCTAAGTGGGTTTTTTTGAGCAGCTGTACGTCAGTTTACGTCAGTTTACGTGTGGTGGCATTTCTCTTGTATTCTCTCCTTTCATTGTCGATCTCATGCCTCATCGCTTGTTGCAGTCAATGAGCCGTTTTGTGGGTTTGTTTGGATTTGAATTTCCTCCAGACTGGACTACAGGATGGCCCACAAAGGGCCTAGATTGATCTAGATTAGCTTCAGAGGACCTAGATTGGCCTAAATTAGATCAATCGTTCTGATTTTTCTTAAGTAAATCGAAAGCTTAAATATATCTCCTGAAACAGCGCCCATTATCTAATCGATTCAAGCTTTCAATTTTTTTTTATATAGCCTTCTAAAGTTGAAAGCCGAGAGCTCGGCACGCTACTCATTTATGAAATTTTTGAGAGCGATCTTGTCAAAATCTCGTTCAGCTTGAATTTATGATGTTAATGAACGACATTTCACATCCTCTACGCAGTTTAAGTGCAAAAATTCTTGAGAAATGCCACCAAAACGTGGTCTGTTTTCACTTGAACGCATTAGCAAGTATCGTACAAGGACTAGTCAAATCTTTGACCTTGATACTGGTACTGAATTGGCAGTACTGATCTGAACTGATAGTATATATCAGTACTGATCTTCGTCTAATAGTGATACTGGTCTGGTAGAGTCTAAGCCAAGGCTTGGTACTGGTACTGGTAGTTAACAAGCTACCAGTACCAAGCTTAGTGGTACCTAAGCCCAGTACTAGCCTAAGCCCAGTACTAGCCTAAACCCAGTACTAGCCTAAACCCAGTACTAGCCTAAACCCAGTACTAGCCTAAGCCCAAGTCCAGTACTAGCCTAGATTGCTATCAAATTCGGTAAAAATGGTGCTTTACAAGATTTTTGTAGTGAACTGGACTAGGATTTTTCACATTTAAAAACTTCTATTCAAACTCTCGCTGTACTCCTTGAAAAGCAGCAAAAAGAAATGGACATTGTGTGTATATTTGCATGTTTGCATGGAGATGTTCAAACACGAAACCCCTTTGGGTAAAGAAAAAGAGAAACACGATGAACATCGTTGTCCTGTCTCTTTCCCTTTCATCATTTCTTTTCTTTTCTTTTCAAGATACTTGACCAGTCTCCTCTTTTCTGAAGTTCAAAGCCCTTCCGGTGTCTATCAAAGCTATGGAAATTTTTACTTTAAATGAAGAGTATTGTGGCGAATAGCCACTAAAAAGTTACCTAACTGACAGCCTAAAAATTGGAAAATTATTGCGGAAATCCGTGCGTCTTCATTCTTCATTTATTGTTTTGCCTTTAACACAAGATATTCAGCTTGTTAGCTGAATATCTTTTGCTAGAGGGTATATAAGGCAACTGTTGTTCATTTGATGACAACCGTTGTTCATTTTTTACTTTTTTTACTTCATTATGCTTTCCTTTCGTCGTGTGAAAGTTGTGTCCTAATTAGGGTGAAATTCTTTCTGTTTTTATCATCGCTTTTAATTCAATTGTCGATTTTGTTTGAAAATTTCTCGAGAGCCCAAAAATTCCGAGTCAGTCGGCTTGGACAATTTCAAGAGTTGGAATGCCAATTAACATCATGGATTATTTAATGGCCTAGCCTTATCCAATGGCCAGTTAAACCCAATCTTTTGTAGTGTTGCATAGGCTATTGTGTCTTAGTTCAAGTGAGATCAGATATCTCGAAACAAGGAATAACGTGTCTTGAGTGAAGAGTACTAAGCACGCAAAGGATATTTCTTTACAGAAGTTGAGAATCTTTGCAAAGAATCTTTTCGCGCAGTTGATTCAGTGGTAAAATGCTCGCCCGCGTGGCAAACGAGCATTCTACCACTGAACCAACTTCATGCAAAGTTTCTTTCCAAAGATTCCCAACTTCTTTACAAGTATTCAATTGAATTATTCATTTTATTTTCTAAAATTTGTCAACTTTCGAAACCGTAATCCTTAGCGTTTTCTAAAACGTATCAACTTTCAAAACGACCGTTATCCTGTCTCGAGTTTAATCTAGTCATCAACTTTCAACCTGATTCTTAAGCCAACTTCTGTCAGCTTCTTTCTTTTCTTCTTCAACTTATTCTACTCCTTTATAGTTTACCTTTTTATTCAGCATCAATTTCAGAAAAAAAAACGATTTGTTCCCTAACGAATGTCATGTAAGGGATGCGAATGGGACATCACCTCGATTCAGCCGAATATGCGTGGCTTTTTCCCAAACAGGTACGCCAAGTCAATCAGCCAAAAATCCTTGTTTTCAACTTGATAAACTATCAAGCTAAATCATAGTCTAACTACAAAATATTCCCAATTTAAGTTGCCATTTTCCACACAACGATCCAGCCCACCAGTGAGGCTGGATTTAACACTATTTTTTTACGGCCGATTGAGCAGACAATTTGCAATCACGGGTTTTCGAGGATGAGGATTTCGAATCCGTTATTAGTTTTTAAAGAAAACTGCTTTTTTTTGGGAGATTTTATTCGATTTAATTAATCAAATCCAACCCCAAATCCAGGATGTGCAAGAAGGTGAAAAGAAATATGTGAAAATTTTCATGTTTACATAATCACGTGGCTTTTGGCACATGCCTCTAGAGATAAAAGAAAAAACAAAAGCTTGGTTCTGCCTTTTTCTCTTCAATTTGATTTAATTACCTAAGTTTTGAGAGTTTTGTGATCATCGTATTGGCTTGGAAATTAAAGTTGCTCAAAAACTGAAAAAATTCAGATTCTCCATCACAGAATTGTTCTATTTCTTTTAGAAAACCATTTTCTCAATTCTAGAACACTAGAAATCTCTAGAAACTCAAGAAAACGATGCTTCGTTTACATATTTTCATGCCTAGAGCTAACATAGATAGCTGGAAGCTGGAAGCTGGAAGCTGGAAGCTGGAAGCTGGAAGCTGGAAGCTGGAAGCTGGAAGCTGGAAGCTGGAAGCTGGAAGCTGGAAGCTGGAAGCTGGAAACAGCAGCCAAGTTCAAAAAATGACTTTATCGTAAATGTTAAATGGCTTCTAGCCTATCTGAGTTTTGAACGAGGCTTTAGCTTTTTCTTATTAGCTCATCAAAACCATTTCTTCGGCCAGTCATGTAAAAGCTTAACATTTCAGATCTCAACTACTGGAGTGCCGACCAGTGTCCCCACTCCGTTCCCACCGATCGCCACCGCGGCCGCACTAATACCCGATAACTCGTTGCTCTTTGTTGCACTGTTATTGGTAAATTTACAGCACTCAAAACTAGTATTGATTACAATTGAAATACAATTGAAATACAATTATAGACCTACATACCATAAAAACTAATAAAACGACCCTCTAAAGAAGCGGATTTTTCATCATTTTTCAATCATTTTTTCTAAGCACTGGCTAATTCTAAAAATATGTGTTATATCTCAAAAAATCACCCATCTTCTCTACTTTAATTTGATATCAAAACGCATAAAAACAAACGTACTGGTGATGAGATATGAGTGTTTGTTTGAGAGTAAACTTAGACTACCCAACGTTCCTATAGGGGGTCTTTTATTAGAGTTTTTATGGTAAGCTTTACCAATAAACAGTTATATTCTTTAGTATTTGCTTAGCAATCAAGATTTATGATGCTTTTGCCCTTTGAGAGTACAGCTAATCTTTTCAGGTGGTTGTGCTTTGTGTGGCTGTTGTCGGCGTTCTCGTGCATGCTCATTGCCGATCTCCGTCACTTCCATATCACCCGAATGAACAGTGGACAACATCATGCAGTACTGGTTGGTTTCAAAGTCTTACAAAAGTTACATATAGCCATGTTAATGGCAGAAAACTGCTCTAGCTGCAAAGCAAGCGATTTTTTTCGTTTTTCGACAAACAACTTGTAAACTAAACTAAACAATTGACTAATTTAAAAATAGAACTTTAGAAGCTCTATTCTGGACTTAAACACAATAGCTTTAGAAGCTCTATTCTGGACTTAAACACCTGATAGCCATATAGAAAGATGCTCAATAGGAGCAGAGATAAAGCAGAGAGGATGAAGCTGTTCGCCATCTTGCTCGTTGTCTTGTTCCTCTTTGAATGAATTCAATTCTTGACTTTGTCTTTGGAAAAAGACACATTCTTTTTCTTTTGCCAAGTACTAAATCTTGTTTTTGTTTACGAAACTTTTCAATCAATTCCAATCAAATTTCTTTGCGAAACTTTTCAATCAATTCCAATCACTGAAAAGGTTTTTGTTGATGATTTAAATGATCGGAATAGAAATGAAAGCGTTTTCCATTCAATACTATTCTTGTTTACTAAAATTTCTTTAATCAAATCGATTCACCCGAGGTTTGTTGATGATTTGAAGAAGAAAAGAGTTGTTTTCCGGAAGCAGTGCCGACTTGCACACCCTTTTCCCCATTTCTCCATTTCTCCCTTTCTTCTGATGCCGATTCATCTACCTCTATCGAAAAGAAATGTGCCTTTTTCCACACAATGTGTGCCTTTGAATGACTCGGAATCTTTTCCCGAATCGCTTTTCTCTTTTCATTCTTCTGGATACGATTCGTACGGCGAATGAGACGAGAATGTCTACTTTACAAAACATTAATCAGCTTTTTCGATAACTTAGAGTCTATCAAACTATATCAAGAAGAAGCCTTTAGATTAACTAACAAATTTGGTTTTAGATATTCCACTACGTTCACTTGTTGTCCTCAAGTACTAAGAAACTAAGAAACTAAGAAATCTAAGAAAACTAAGAAATCTAAGAAACTAAGAACTCTAAAAACTCTAAGAAAACTAAGAAATCTAAGAAATCTAAGAAATCTAAAAAAAATATGCTAAGAATTTCTTTTAGAAAAGTATTTTCTCAATTCTAGAAATCTCTAGAAACTCTAGAAACTCTAGAAACTCTAGAAAACTCGATTCATCTCGACTTTCCCACAATTCAACCGATCACAGATCTCTTCCCCTAACCTATTTTTCACCTATTGACAATGATCTTCACTCTTCATTATTGCTTTCGAATTCTTCTTCTTTTCTCAATTTCTTTCAATTCTTTTCTTTTCTTCCGATTCTCTTCAAAATCTTCCATCTCTTTTTGATGATTTCTGTTTGTTTTGCTCTCTTTTCTCTTCACTCTCTTCTTCTCTTTCTTCTCCGATTTCTCATCTCACTTTTGAAATCTGCCCAACAATGCCCAGATCATTTTCAAACAATGCACTTTTTTATCAAGTTTAGTCTTTTGTTCATTTAAAGCTCAATAAACTAGCTGAAAGATTGAAAAAAGTAACTTCAAAGTTTTGCTTTTTAAAATTTTAACTTTTAAACTAAACTTTTAAAACTTTTAAAATGCCCGTGTTGTGCTTTAGGCTTCTTTCTTGTACGAAAACTATCAGTCTTTTTAAAGTATAAACCTAAATCAGATCAGAAAATTGATTAGAAAACCGTTTAGAAATTAGAAATTTCGACTACCGATCAGAAAATTGGATTCAAACAGTTTCAATAAAGCTATTTGAATAAAATGAAACTAGACACGGGGAAACTTCCTAGATTTGAGGCAGTATCGATAAACAAACAGACAAATCACAATCAATGTCTTTGAAAGCAAGGCTTATTGGTAGTCTATGCCTAGAATAGCCATTTTTTACGGCTATTGGTGTTCACATCAAACATTCCCAGATCTAATTCCTTGTGATTGCAAAGACGCTTTCTAAAGCGTGAGCTTTAAAAAGACTCCCGTAGTTATGTAAATTTATACCGTATTTATTCTAATAAACGCCGACCCATTTGACCAACTTTAGACGTCTCGTTCTTAGTCCCATTTTGATATATTTTGGCGTTTAATATACCAAAAGATAGCCCTTAATGTCTTCTATCTTTTGGTATATTAAACATTAAAAAAATCTTAAAATGGGACTAAGAACGAGGCGTCTAAAGTTGGTCAAGGTCGACCCCTTGACCAACTTTAGACGCCTCGTTCTTAGTCCCATGTTAAGATATTTTTATGATTAATTTACCAAAAGATAGAAGACATTAAGGGCTATCTTTTCGTATATTAAACATAAGAATATCTCAAAATGGGACTAAGAACGAGATGTCTAAAGTTGGTCAAATGGGTCGGCGTTTATTAGAAAAAATATGTGAATTCCTTTAAATGCAAATTGAACTTTTCATCATTTGTAATTGTTTTTTCGACAAGAATTTCATTTAAAAGATAAGTTATTCAATTGAAAAGAAAGAGCAAAAGAAAGAAGAGAGCATAAGAAAGAAGAGAGCATAATTGACGCATTAATTGAGAGAAATCTTGATTTACCTTTAATCGATTCAGCATTTTATTTATGCAACTTTATTCAATTCATTCTTTCTCATCACTCTGTCAGAATTAGAATTGTGAATGATCCTTCTTCTCATCCCTTTCTCATCCCTTTCTCATAAACTTTTCTCCATTCCTCTTGTCTGGGGTCAAGTCTTCCCCTTTTCCCCGATCCCGATCTTCAATTGTTGATGGATAGGCGACTGTCTGTGAGTGTCCCCTCTTCAGAAGAGATCTCAATTGTGAGAAATAGCCGGAGATCTTCAAGATGCGAAAAAAAAAGAAAGAAATTGAACGTCAGGCTTTTTTTTCACTTCACAAATTTTTGTGCACCTAGGATTTCCATCCCGTTTTCCCGTTGAGTTGTTCGTGTTGTTGACACGGATATCCACGCGTTTTTTCTCTTTTTTGCTTCTCTCGTTGCTCTATTGGTTTTCCTGATCTTCTTAGTCTGTTTTTCAAGATTTTCTTCTGACCTGAGAAAGTGCCCAAGACACTTTTGTATCTGAAAGCTCTGTAGAATAGATAATTAAAAAAAAATAACGAACTGTCACGCTATAAACACTTATAACTTGCTTTAAATCTACCCGAATGACATGATCTATAGCTAAAAAAATAGAGAATCTCAAGGACTTTTCAATGAACCAAAGCACACTCAAAAATATGAACGCTAAAGAAAGTTACAGTTGTTTGTAGCCTAACTTGATCACTTCGACTATGCGCGAGTTCGATCCGTCAGCCTACAAATCACTATAACTTTCTTTAGCATTCATATTTTTGAGTGTGCTTTAGTCCATTCAAAAGCCCTTGAGATTCTCTATTTTTTGAGCTATCGATCATGTAAATCCGATAGATTTAAAGCAAGTTATAAGTGTTTATAGTTTACGTTTGTAGTTTATGTGTGCTCATTTCTTCTGTAGAAGTACTATTTTCTAGTCGTTTGCTTAAAAGTCTTTATATTATTTCATGTAAAGCCTCTCGCTTATAGAAATAAAAACCAAGACTTAATACTTATTATTTTTAACTTTAACTTTATTGAAATAGATTCTAAAAGCTAATCATACTTCAGTAATCATAATTTACAATATTTTTGGGGAATGCAATATCGTTAAATTCAATAAATTTCATTTCTTCAACTGAAAAGCTATTCAAATAGTCAATGATAGACTTTAAGCCATAGTTTTGTGCAAAATTAAATCAAAATAGATCAAAATAGATCAAAATAGGTCAAAATAGATCAAATTAGATCAAATTAGATCAAATTAGACCAAAATTAGATCAAAATAGATCAAAATTAGATCAAAATTAGATCAAAATAGATCAAAATAGATCAAAATATTGCGAACTTTGGCTGGACAACCTTTTTAAAAACAAAAAAACGAGAAAAACGAGAAAAACGAAGGAAAATCGCGAAAAGCGGCGGAAAGGCTATTGATCTGAGGGTCGCTGGTTCGACTTCCACCGGTGACAATATTTTTCAAAAATCTTTTACTAAGATTCTGAAAATGCGTGTCTAGGGGTTATTTTTGACGCTGATCACGAAACACATGTTTTCAGCCTAGGTTTCTGCACGGAAAACTAACGAAACGTGAAAACAGCCATTTTTTGGGTCTGCCGCCCTTTACTAAAATAGCTGTAAAAACTTTCAGAAAAGAGATATCTCAAAACGGTTTTTACCAATCGATCCGTCTTGAATTCAGCTTTAGGATGAGCTATAAAACGTCAAAATTGGACAAATTTAAGGTACTCTCCCAAAAAAATCGGAAAGGACTTTTCCATCAACCCAATAGATCAAAATTAGATCAAAATTAGATGTTTAACTCGAAAAAACTCTTACTATTATAGATGTAGAACGAAATAAGCTTTGAGATAATCAAATTTAAAGTACCTAAAGGCATTAAATTGACTTTAATGCATATACCTAACAATTGCTAACATTTTTATTCATTCAATTTTCAACGCTCAATTAGATCGTTGGGATTTCTTGTGGAAATCACTAGCTCTCATCGAGAAAGAGAGCCCGGTTTTGCTTGCGCTCAACGCCCTAGGCTTCTTTTGAGAAGGTTCTTTCGAAATTCACTCGAAAAGAGAATTCTTTTGAAATTTCCATTTCATTCGATCATTCTTTTCTTTGATTGATCATTTCTTATCAATAAAGACATTTCTTTTTGAGGAATTTCTCCACACAAATTGTCTCCAGTCAGAATTAGATCTTCTAAGCCATTGTTTAACTTTTATAAAAAGATAGAAGATAGAAAAGTTAAAAGATATAATTCAGTCTAAAATCTAAGTGATTTTACTTAAAGATTACTCTTTTATTTGGTTTATTTAAGAGCTTTCCAATGTACGATCTAAATATGAGTAAACCAAGGGAAAATCAATGGCTTTAACTGAAAAATTACAATCCTATTGTTGAATTTGGTTTAAAACTTTGATTTTAACTTGGCTTTCTTGGAAATTAAGCTATTTTGGTCTAAATCTAACAAAATAATCTTGATTTTCACGATTTTCCATTATAATTGCTTTAAATGATAGAAATTCTCATTGTTCCCATTTTTTTTAAAGCTCAAAAAAAGTGAGATGATAGTTTTATCATAGATAGCTTAAATAGATAGCTTTATCATTGATAGCTTTATCATAGATAGCTTTATCATAGATAGCTTTATCATAGCTTTATCATAGCTTTATCATAGCTTTATCATAGATATCTTTATCATAGATAGATTAAAAGTGAGATGATAGCTTTATCATAGCTTTATCATAGCTTTATCATAGCTTTATCATAGCTTTATCATAGCTTTATCATAGCTTTATCATAGCTTTATCATAGCTTTATCATAGATACTTTATCATAGCTTTATCATAGCTTTATCATAGCTTTATCATAGCTTTATCATAGCTTTATCATAGCTTTATCATAGATATCTTTATCATAGATAGATTAAAAGTGAGATGATAGCTTTATCATAGATTTTCAAAAGAAAATATGTGAAAAATTTTGAATCCAGTGATAGAAATTCTCAATTTCTTTAAATCTATTATTCAAAATATCCAAATATCCAATTTTTCTTCTTCATCTTCATCTTGTGATTGTGGAGATGTGATCTCAAAAGTAACCCCCCCAAAAAAGAGAAGAGAAAAATTGGATGCGACACGCATCGACAAATAATGCCACTCCCAGTTCCCTTCCCATCACTCATCCAACACTCGAAAAAATGATAAGAAAAGTTTTTTTTCCTTACTCATTGAAGACAAAATTCAACTTTCTTTGCTCTCTTTCCCTGTTCTTTACATACTTTATGCTCAAATTTGTAAACAAACCCTTTCTAGTGCACTAAATTCTTGATCTTTCTCCACACAACGGCTTATTTTCTCAAAGGAAACTGAAAAATTTAGAAAAGTTTACATTTTTCAACACAAAATACATCTGAAGCAAGAGTTGATGCCATTTTTTGATGCCAAGAGATGATGCCAAGCAAGAGTTAATGCCATTTTTTGATGCCAAGAGTTGATGCCATTTTTTCTGATGCCTTGCTAAATCTAGTTCCTAATTTTAAACTTGAAGTTTAGACTTTCAAATATAAAGCTTTTCCCCGGGAGATTATCATTTCCTATTCCTATTGAAGATCAAGAAATTCAAGAGGAGTGGCCGCTTGTAAACTATCGGAAAGATAAACCTTTCAGAGGTTTTTTCTTATCAAATTTTTGCAATTCCGTTTTTTTTGAATGCAAGTCTAAACCGCAATTCTAATTTCAGCCTAAAGTTTTTAAAAATAAAATTCTTAATCGCTCTTGTTCTTTGTCATTAATTTCTTTATTTTACAGTAGTCATGAGAAGTCAATCTCTAGTGAGGCAGAAGATTGGGAGGCCAATTGACTTGGCTTAATTTGTGGCTTGATTTGTGGCTTGATTTGTGGCTTGATTTGTGGCTTGATTTGAGCTGGCTTAGCCTGTGGACTAGTGAAGAATAAGGTCTAGACTTGACTAGTCTTGTTCTAGACTAGCCTTGTTCTAGATTAGCCTTGTTCCAATCTACTGGCGCTGAAACTCTACCTAATCCTACTAGACTGATCCTGCTTTAGCCTGCTCTAGTCCAATCCCAAAATAAAAATTGCAAATCACATAGTTAAATCTGCAAAAGCTTTGCATCCATTCTTCCCCAAAAATCTAATTTTAGCTCTGTTTCGGATCTTTTCAGCGAAAATCCTTCTCATTTCCCCAGCCTGTAAACACTTAAAACAATAGATAGACATTTTCAATTTGAAAGCAAAAAAAAATCCCCAAGCGAAAGCGTTTTTGGTTTCTCTTTTCTTTTTCCTTTTTTTTCTGTTTGTTGGCAATCCGTTCGGTCCATCGGCAAGCACACATCTGAATCCCACGGAAAATTTGTGGGAAAGAGACCCTTTTCTCCTTCATTTTTTTTTCTTCTCCACTCCCGTCCATCCACTGCCCATCCCATTTCCCTCAACACTCACAAATACCACCCAAATAAGAGGACTTATCAACACCCAAAACAGCAGCTTTGCCACACTGTTGCTGCTTATCGTTTTGCCATTACTATCTTGGCTAAGAGCTTCTGCTTCATTGCCTTGTTCTAGTTTCCTGGACCCTGGACTTGCTAAAACTCTGGTCTGTAACTTGACCAGACCAATACCAGACCAATATTTTTGTTCTACTAATACCATTAACCTATCCCAATACTCAATCTCATTCTAGTATACCAAAATAAAACATTTAGTTGATTACTGATGTCGATAAAGTATGTTACTGCTTCTATTGCTGGCTTAAGACTATTTCCAATCACTTTCAACCTCTACTAGTTACTTTTATCTAAAATGTAGGTATTGTTCTATGTTAAGTACGTCACTTGATGCTGAACTTGTACTGTTCAGCTTGTACTGTTCAGCTTGTACTGTTCAGCTTGTACTGTTCAGCTTGTACTGTTCAGCTTGTACTGTTCAGCTTGTACTGTTCAGCTTGTACTGTTCAGCTTGTACTGTTCAGCTTGTACTGTTCAGCTTGTACTGTTCAGCAACAAGAACACAAATTCCTTTTAATAACACAAGAATGTTAATGTTAACCACAGAATAGAATCGAGCCATCTATTTGACTAGACTATTTTCTAAATATTTGAGAAAATCTTTGCTTTGACAAATCGCTTTGACAATTGCTTTGAAAAATCCCAAAATCGGTTCCATTTCCATTTACAATGTCTGGCCAAATGATTCAGAAAGAACCATTCAAAAAACTTGAATCAAAGTCATAACTTTATCACTCTTCCGCAATGCTTTAAATAAAAATTAAAAGAATTTCTTTGTTTTACCATTTCCATTACCATTACCACACCCATTTCTTATTATAACTTGAAGAAACTTTAGATTAACAACAAAAAATAGATAAATAGAAACGATAAAAATAATTCTATAAACATTTGAGTAATGGTGAATCGACTAAAATGAAATGATACGATGAAATACTTATAATCAATTAGAAATTCAAGATTTTGCTGCCATAATAGTTAAATGATGACTAAATACGTCTATAGACGTCTATAAATGTAATCGATATTACCCAATCGATTTCAAACAAACACAAACTTTTCCTGAAGTACCACACTTCTGTATCGTCTCTATACAAAGCCCCTATTCGGTGTCGAGTTCTTTTTTGTTTCTTTCCTTCCCCAAACTTTTCCCTTTCCTCCAAGTCTACAAATAGATCACCCAAAGTCATTCTTTCATCTCTTTTAGCTTTTTTTCACTTCTTTTGTTGATCTTTTCATCTAAATGAACTTTTCTATGCATTTCTTGGTTTGGCTACTTTTCTTGGCTTCATTTCTCTTTAGATGTCGAATTCTTTTCTTAGTTTCATTCTTTTCTTAGTTTCATTCTTTTCTTAGTTTCAATCATCCTTTCTTTATTTCAATGATCATCCGCAAACTTAAACTTTAGCTTTAGTTTTGGAAAATATTTGTTAATCTAAAATCATTAAAACTTGCTTGAAAGATGATTCAATTTCAAATTTTAGTGAAGCTAAGAATAGTGTAACAAATTTTCCAATTTTAACCCTTGATTCACTTACAATTAGTGCCTGACAGACTTAGTAAATCTTTATTTCTTTTTCTGACAAGAATATGACTAGAATTCTTGGTTTATCAGCTCTTTTAGCAGAGATTATGTCGAATGTTTAGCGAAACCTTGACCTGATCATACACTTGCTAAGAATGCTAACATGATACACTTTCATATCATTACTTGGTTTATAGTTGATGAACACTGAACAAGGGACATTGGACTTGATATTGTCAATGGTTATTTCTAGTGGAAAGCCATCGTTTGACCTTGACCATATCAAAACCAAGCCAAATCACAACTCCATCTTTCTTCCACCATCCGATATTTTTCTTGTTCTTTTTTTTCTCCAACCTCATCAAAAACGTGGGCTTGTCTAGGCGTCGAGAGATCAGAAAGAGAGAGAGAATGCTTCGCGGGGAAGTGTTCATGAATCCGGTGTGGGACTCGTTCGATCAAGACGAGCCACCGTACGAGAGATCATCGGAGAGATCCCTCTCGCAGCCATCCTCCAGCTCGTCCTCAACCTCGTCTTCGCATCATTCTCTGTCATCAATATCGCCAAGAGTTCACCATATACCAATAGAATATCAGACGAAAACCCTGGCCAATCAGAAGCATCAAGCGATCCGAACAAGACCTGTGAGGGAACGAAGAGTGACACAAAGATTGGACATACCTGTGCCTGATTATCCACATGAGGGAAGAGCTGCGAGTGGAGGTTTGAAATCGAGAAGAAAAAGCTACCGTATTGAGTTTGTCTGTCTGACTTTTGTCTGTAAAATTTTGGTAGGCTTGCTTGGCAGCTAGAGCAAAAAAAAATTGGGTTTTCTTTTCTAATCATTACCATTTTCAGTCTCATCAACCATGTCAACTACTTCAGCTTCATTACTTCACTTGATTTCCTCAGATATTCGACATGACATTCACGATATTCTCATCCCATCCGAGGCTGTCATTTTGGAGACAATCATTGGCAAAGGTTGGAAATGATTTGAGACTCGAATTTTCTAAGTCGTTTAAGTCAAGTTCAAGTCAATTGGCTTTATCAGCTTAGGCCGAGGCTTAGGCTTAGGCTTAGGATTTTAGGCTTAGGCTTAGGCTTAGGCTTAGGCTTAGAGCTTAGGTTAAACTAAGTTACTGTAGCCAGTTCAGGCTACAGTTCTGGTTTACAACCTGATTACAATACCAAAAATAATGACTATTCTATTTAGGATACTTTGGAAACGTGTATCGTGGTCGAATGCGAGATGCCACGGGACGATTTGTGCCTGTTGCCGTGAAAACATTAAAGGGTTTGTTTAGCTAATAGATACCGTGTTTTCTCTAATAGTAGTGCACCCAAGGCTTCGCCTAAATTCCTCGAAATCTCGAGAACCGCTTATCAGAACCTATCGATGTGGGATCGGAAAATGTAGCTGACGATGAGATCTTTTAGAGGATTTGGGTGTTGAGATTCTGTAAAGAACTTGGAAACCGTAAAATAGTGATTAACTCGGCGTGCATTACTGCATTACTATTAGAGAAAAAACGGTAATATCGCTTTAATATCTGTAGCACATTCAAATAAACATCTCAATCATATAAACTTGTTGTCTTTCTTTCAATACTTATGGGAACCAGTAGATTACTAGATCTAGAGCTCATTTTGTACAAGTTTAATTTAAAGGAAACACTATAAACACGACCAACGTTAACAACTTTAAGTTACTTTGATATTTGTGGATTTTTTTCCCCCGCAAATTCCTAAGCGATGACGTTTGTTGCTCCGCTTTGCACTTTTCCAAAGATACCAGAGCCACATCGAACCGAATACAGAGCGTTTGAATAAGAAAATGATTTTTGGTTTAAGAAAATGATTCTTTTCCCCGCAAATTCTTAAATAAGGGAGCCGGCGAAGTGGAAGATTTCTGTAAATTGGAAAATTTTCGGGGAAAATCCACAAGTACCATTAAGTTTATCACAAATTTTCATCAACTTTCTACAAAGAACCAAAACTGAAATGTAAGCCAAACATTTTTAAAGTCTAGATTCGAAAACTGTTAAATAGTGAAGACTTTCTCATTGTTAAATAAAAAAAAAACTGAGATCTGACTTCTTTTGGTGAAATTTGGTGTTCTGATTAATCGATTTCTAGAATATAAAATTTATTAAACTAAAAATATTAGGTTGTCCAGTTATGAATGCGCGCTTTTACTATTTGGTAAATTTCTCAAGATATCGAACAGATGTATATGAGTGTTATATATCATTCGAAAGCTGAAGATCTCCTCTACATTTTGATATAAAAAGTTTTTGAATTTGTTCAGCTTTTGAGCAAATTGACCGCACAAAGGGAGAGGTCGTTTTCGAAAAAACCGATTTCAGTTTAGCTATTCCTCAAGTTTTATGGTGTAAAATAACCGCCCAAAAAAGTAAAGATGCCCTGAAATTGTTATATTTTAAAAAAAGTTGTATTGATATATCTATTGGCCAAACATCAAACGGTTAACTCAATTTGAGCGGAGTCAAAACTTGATCCAAAGGCATCCTTCCACCCAAAGGCGCCATTTTTTGGCCACCTCTTCTTGTGTGCAGTCAATTTGCCCAAAAGCTGAATAAATTCAAAAGCTTTTTATATCAAAATGTAGAGGGGATCTTCAGCTTTCGAATGATATATAACACTCATATACATCTGTTCGGTATCTTGAGAAATTTACAAAATAGTAAGAAAACGCGCATTCATAACTGGACAACCCAATATAATCTAGAAAGTCGAATTTATTCCAAACTTTATGAAGTTTGAACTTTATTTTTGAAATTTACTCCAAACTTTATGAACCAAACAGTGCTTTCTTCACGATTTATGAAAATAAACCAATTTTAAGATCTGCGAGTTTAAAAGTCTCCATAAATATCTCAATAAATATTGAAAATCTTGTAGATTTGGATCTGCTTGTAGAAAATCTTGTAGCTTTGGATCTGCTTGTAGAAAATCTTGTAGATTTGGATCTGCTTGTAGAAAATCTTGTAGATTTGGATCTGCTTGTAGAAAATCTTGTAGATTTGGATCTGCTTGTAGAAAATCTTGTAGATTTGGATCTGCTCAAACCCTGAACCCAGGTCCAGGACCTGGCTTTGCTACAGTTTGATCAAAAATCTACCTTCTGGTCTATTCTAACATTTCTGGATATCTACAATTCTGGATATCTACAATATAAACTATATCTATTAGAATATCTCACTGAACCTGTTGCAACGAGGAGTCACGATTGAGAACACTTAGCGGGTACAGACTTTCATGGCCACCGTCCTGCTGTCTATATCAACTAACGCCTTTCATGGGGTCTCATGAGTGGACACTTAGGCACTTTAACCCGACGTTTGGTTCATCCCACAGCGCCAGTTCTGCTTACCAAAAATGGCCCACTAGGAGCTCTCATTCAGGGTCACAGTTCACTGAAGAAACTGCAACATCATACCCATTGAAAGTTTGAGAATAGGTCTATTCTAACATTTCTGGATATCTGGATATCTACAATATAAACTATATCTATTAGAATATCTCACTGAACCTGTTGCAATTAGGAATTGCAACTAGGAATTGAGAACACATGTTTCTCACATTTGAGTGAAGTGTCACTTGACATTTGAGCGCTTCCGTTTTCTGTTTTCTGGATGATAATTTTTGTTCATAGTTTTTTTATAGTTTTTCCTCGTTTTCCCCATCTCTTGTGTCTACGTGAGAGTCTTTTCCCTGTTCTCTCTTCGGCAACCGGAACCATGACTCGGTCCTTGATTCAGTCATCTTTCTCTCTCAAAAAGCATCACCGGAATTCAGCGCGCATCGATTTGCTGTTAGGCTTGGTGACTGAGAACATTTAGTGCGATCGATTGATCACGTCAAAGCTTGAAAAATAGACACAATAACATTAAAAGTAGCAAGTACACTAGTTGCTTTATTTTTAAACACAAAATACAGTGAATGAATTTCTCTAAAATCTCTGTAAAGGAACTTAAGAAGAAGCTAATCTAAAGAAGCTAACGTAAGAAGAAGCTAATCTAAAAAAGCTAATCTAAAGAAGCTAAGGTAAGAAGAAGCAATCTAAAGAAGCTAACGTAAGAAGAAGCTAATCTAAAGAAGCTAAGGTAAGAAGAAGCTAACTAAAGAAGCTAACGTAGAAGAAGCTAATCTAAAGAAGCTAACGTAAGAAGAAGCTAATCTAAAGAAGCTAACGTAAGAAGAAGCTAATTTAAAAAAGCTAATCTAAAGAAGCTAACGTAAGAAGAAGCTAATCTAAAGAAGCTAACGTAAGAAGAAGCTAATCTAAAGAGCTAACGTAAGAAGAAGCTAATCTAAAGAAGCTAACGTAAGAAGAAGCTAATCTAAAGAAGCTAAGGTAAGAAGAAGCTAATCTAAAGAAGCTAACGTAAGAAGAAGCTAATCTAAAGAAGCTAACGTAAGAAGAAGCTAATCTAAAGAAGCTAACGTAAGAAGAAGCTAATCTAAAGAAGCTAACGTAAGAAGAAGCTAATCTAAAGAAGCTAACGTAAGAAGAAGCTAATCTAAAGAAGCTAACTTAAGAAGAAGAAAATCAATCAAATAACACTAAAAGGTTTACCATTCAAAATGAGTGACTTGCTGCCTTAATTACCTTATTCTAATTGACAAATTAAAGGGAAAGATTGAAAAATATAAAGAGAAACTTTTAGGACAATAAGTTAAAAAGTTTTACTTAAACATTTGTTGTAAACAAAAAGCATTTTTTAAAGAAATCCTTTTAGGTGAACGCGGTCGAGACATGGCTCACATTGAGAGATTCCTTCGCGAGGGAATCATCATGAAACATTTTCAACATCCGCATGTGCTTTCACTCATTGGTAAGCTAGAACTAGAGTTTAATGAGTAACTAGAACTAGAGTTTAATGATCTGAGCTACAGTACGATTTCTAGGAATTTGCATTTCACCCTCCGGCTCTCCATGGGTCTTGCTCCCATTCATGGATCTCGGCGATCTCAAGAGTCACATTGCCGATCCGAATCGGGTAACGATTTTAATGGTTTTTCAATTCAATAATTCAAATAATCTAGTTATTAGATCTAGATTTTATAACAAACAATTAGTCTTTTCAAGTGTAAAAGCTGTTTTAAGATTGAACAACGAATTTTCACATTTTACCCTTTCAAATCCCCACTAGCTACTCCATCTTTCTATGGAGTAGCTAGCGGGAATGGCCTACTTTACTCCATCCCCACTAGCTACTCCATCCCCACTGCTACCCACCCCCAGCTACCCCACCCCACGCACCCCCCCACTGCCCCTCCCCCGCCCCCCCCCACTAGCTACTCCATCCCCACTCCATCTTTCTTCCGAAATTTCAACCAAAATTCTGTCGTGTAATTATTTAATGTTTTTTTAAAGAATTACATATTAGAAATTAATTTAATTCTAAAAAGCCAAAGAAATACTTTTGATGGAATTTAAAAAGATGGACAGAGGGGGTAAACGCACTAAAATTGATCAAACTCGAGATATGAAAGAAATGAAAAATTGCTGCTGTAAAAAGACAAATAAAATAGCAGTTTCAAGTCTTTGTTGCGATTTTTTTGAGGCTTAATTTGCACAACGAAAGCCTCAACTGTTCACAGACTCAATAGCTGTATTGGATTATTTAGCAACTTTGTGTATTGGAGCTTGTCGATTTCTCCTATCAAGTGGCCCAGGGAATGGCCTACTTGGCGTCGCTTCACTTCGTGCATCGAGATCTAGCGGCAAGGAATTGCATGTGAGTTAGAATATTTGAATTCAAATCAAATTGTTAAATCAAATTGTTAAATTTGTATTGACATCAATAGGTTTTTCCGGGTTCACTTTCTCAATTTTACCTTATGAATTCGTTGTGTGGGGTACAATTGAAAAATCTTGTCCTATAGATTGTTGCGTTTGTTCCTAGAAGCCAACCCTAGTGAATTGTTCCTAGAATGTTTCTAGAATTTGATCAAGATTTAAACTAGGACAGGTAGCTGCATTGTATTACAGATTTTATTGATCCCATTGTCGTTCCGCTATGGCTGACTGGCGGAGAGTATTTTGGTCGGAAGGTTAAGGGTTCAATCCCGGCTAGAGGACCCTGGTCTAACCTTGTTCTGGTAGATCTAGAACAGGCTTAGCTTGGCTTGAATTTGTCCCTGTTCTGCCCGGAAGGTTAAGGGTTCAATCGGGCCGAGATTATTGGTTCTTTTTCTCAAATATATGAGTTTTTTCTCTACATTTAGGACTTAAGGGTTGTGCTTGTGTATTGTTTTTCCCACATTATTCGTGTAAATGAAATTTATTCCAGGATCTCCTCCGACGGCTTGGTGAGAGTAGCCGATTTCGGATTGACTGTCGATCTCTTCGATAAAGAGCCTTTCCTAGACGAGTCTGAGACTGGTAGGCTATAAAAAAATTACAATTGTTGATGGAAAACCATCTAAAAGATCTAAAAACCCATAATTACCTTAGAAACAAATTCTAGGACCGGCTCGTTTACCGCTGAAATGGTTGGCATTGGAGTCGCTGAGAGATCGAACACACTTCGATAGTCAGACTGATGTGGTAAGTTTAGAAAGTTGTTTATGTTGTAAAATTGTTAGAATTTATATTTTTAGATAAAATATTCTAATAAAAATCGATATAATCAAAGTTATTTAGTGGTCATTTGGTGTGTTGATGTGGGAGTTGCTGACAAGAGCCGCTGTTCCTTATGGAGAGATCTCAAATTCTGAGGTTTCTGAATAAAATCTGTATAAAACATAAGTCAATAAAGCTATTATCTTTTAAACTTAAATTTAAATTATCTACTTATTATTCATTATTTTAGGTGAAAGCCTTCTTGGAGTCAGGCGGTCGTCTACCACAACCAACCCATTGCCCGGATTCTGTGTAAGTGACAGAATGTTTTACAAGATCATTGTCAATTCTTAAACTATTTTAACTAGTTAACTTTAACTAGTTTATTCCCAAGTTCAATTTTTCAGCTATGAGGTGATGTTGGGCTGTTGGCGAACACGAGCCGCCGATCGACCGAATTTTGTGTTCCTCGTGAGAACGCTGAGGCATTTGATTCAGGTACTGCTTTCAAAAGTTTACTGATTGAATAAACTAATACTTTTCTTACTATTCTATAATGAAAGACAGTGCTTTGTACGACTTTTTTTTGTCTTAAAAGCTTTAAGGAACAAAAAGAAAGCTTAATTTGGACTTTCTGTAAAGCTTAATACTAGGCTATGAGTCACTGTGACAGAAAGTCGATTAGAAGTCGATCTCTTTCTGTCACAGTGACTCATAGGCTAGTATTAAGCTTTACAGAAAGTCCAAATTAAGCTTTCTTTTTGTTCCTTAAAGCTTTTAAGACAAAAAAAGTCGTACAAAGCACTTCTAATCGACTCTCTAGCATAATCAGACGAACAAAAAAGAAATCTTGAAGCTGAAAAGTAAAGAAAAGTAAAAAGTAGATATTCAGGAGCACAGTAACGGAGAGATGATCACATCGCGTGGTCTCGGAATGCGACCTCCTCGACTCCCACTCCCACCACCACATCATCCACATGAAATGTTCTTAAGACCTGTGCTCCCTGCTCGTCTCTTCACCAATTATTTTGCTAATCAACTTGTTCGCTAATCAGCTTAATCAGCTTATTCAGCTTTTCCTATTTAAAAGTATTGTGTTTTCTTTAGCTTCAAATCTCTTCTTTTTTCTGAGATTTTGATGAGAGTTCAAATTTTTGACCGAACAGCTTACCGTATTTCTTGGAATAGAAGACCGGGTAAAGAGTATCATCGCGTACTCCTGCGTAGCAGCCCTTTTTAAAATTTTTTCTGCATAAAAGCTTTCAATCAAGTGCTATAGGGCTGGAAAATGACTCAAAAATACGACATGAGCTAACAGATTTTTGAGCCATTTTCCAGCTCTATAGCACTTGATTGAAAGCTTTTATGCAGAAAAGAAGTTTTAAAAAGGGCTGCTACGCAGGAGTACACGATGATACTCTTTACCCGGTCCTCTATTCGAAGAAATACGGTATTCTTTGTGTACTTTGTGCTGGAAAATAAAAAAAAACCCCACCCTTTCTGGAGCATTGAATTCTTCATTTTTTTTCATTTGAGAACATTTTCTAAAACTTTTTAACCCTAAAAATTCCCCATTCAGGGATTTTTCTTTGAATTTTTTGTCGTCGTTTTCGAGAAATTCACTAATCTTTTTCTTTCATTTCCATTTTTCTTTGGCTTTTTTTAAATTTTTATTTTTTCAATACTCATCTAAAGCTCAATTTTATCTCTTTTTATTTTTATTTTACATTTTTCAGAAAGTTTTTCCATACGAAGCATATCATAGACACGTTCACTGCCCTGCACGGAGTCTTTTCCCCTTTTTCTCTTTTCAAATTCGAGTTTACTGTGTAAAAAAAAAGTTTATTTACAAGAAATAAATGTAAAAATGTTATTAAATGCAAAAATTGTGACGCACACTTGGGAAATATTACCGTACTTTTCGCGTCATGTCGTCATAAAACGTCTTGTTCAACGGTGTTGCCTGGTGTTGTTGCCGAGATCGATAAACTGGTATTAAAATCATAAGTTTCCATAAGAAATTGCCAGAACAATGGAAGGTAAGTATAGAAAAAGAAGCCAGCATAAGATATTCAAAAGCCAAGATTTACGAGATGATTGTATTCAAATTATTTGAGCGGAATAAAATTATTTCACAGCTGAAGGATGTCATCTTCTAACTTTGACCTTGTAACGCAACGTAACGCACCGTGCCTGTTGAAATCAAACTACGGGTTGGCTTGCACATAAACTGCAGCCATTAAAAACGGTTATTTCCTTTCATTGACCAGCATTGTCACCTACAAAATAGGATTATTGACTTTCTAGAGTTGTGCTTAAGTTAAGAATTTGAAAAGTTGTCCATGAATTGCAAATGACGGATTATCCTCATCCAACACGATCAGGTCAGCAAAAAACTTTGAGATGAGAAATATTAGGAATAATCCAACGAGAAGTACCGTCGTTTTTTAAGGAGAAGATATTTTGCCGAGTAGTTTTTACAAAGGTTCTTAGCAGGCAAAGGATTTACACTTACCTTACCTCTTTAAAGACGCAGCAGAAACTGAAGAAAAGAGAAGAAACTTGGGAAAAGCAACGGAGAATGCATGTTCTTTGCTTGCTGATATGGTTTTCGATCAAAAACCTCAAAAGTCAAAAAAAGAAATTCAAAAAATTTATCAGCGTTTCGTTTTTTTTGCCGAGGAAATGCGTCATTTTGCCACACTACGATTACAACGAAAACCTCGGCCCTATACAAAGAGAAGATTACACGTTTGCATTTCTTCTATAATCAAATGTCCCAGAAAGTGAAAGAGAAAGTTTGTAACTCAACGCACTACAACTACACCACCGCGCAATGGCTCCATTATGCTAACTAGCCCCAATATGATTATTGGCTTTCTAGAGTTATGCTTAAGTTAAGTATTTGAAGTCCTGTTATCGCATTAAGTAGTTTAGGTTAGGGTTTCAATAGGATTTGTTTCTGTATTGTGATTGATTGCTTGGGTTGGTTGAATAAATCAGTATATTCTTTTTTCTTTTCTTTTAAACCCAAAAAATTAACCAAACAACATGATAGATTAAACAATAAATATGCTCGTCGTTAACATGTTCACGTAGATCAATCGTCATCTAAAATTTACAAAATCCATAAGCACTTTTGCTGATCGCTTGCCTATGTATTTTGTTAAAAGTTTACCTTGAAGATCATCTTCGAGACCGGTCGTTTTCTTCTCTTCTTTCGCCCACTTCTCTTTGTGAAAGACCAGTCCTTCAAAACAATATTTAAACTGATTAGCGAATTTGAACTCACTGTGCATCACATTATCGTAAGTAAAAACATCACTGGACAATTTAGCTATTAGCACCAAGCTCGAGTCGGGATCCAAATCGAAAATCTAAAAATGAAATCCATGAGTTGACAAAAATCAAGTAGTTTACCTTGCAAATATTAACTTTTTCTTCAAACTTGAGCTCCTTCTCTAGGAAATAGGCAATCATTCGGGGTATAAAGTTTAGAGTCGTTGTTAACTAAAGCATCATGTAAAATATTGAAGTTGTGCATTTATACCCTTTGAAGATCTTCCTGCTCGTCAAATGTAAGTTCTCGAAGCTTGAGCCAAAAAAAAAAACACGGCGTCACTTTGAGAGCTAAAAATGTGTTAAAATCACATCCACCACAAAACCAACCTTTTACCAGCTGAAAAAAGACGTTTCGCTTTCTCGGGAGCATTCGGATCGATTTCCCAATATAAGCCACCAAATTCATGGACACCCTAAAGAAAATAATGACACTTTACTATCGCTCTAACCTTTAAAACCTAGGTTGTCAAAATTATTGCGAACGCATACCGGAGTTATTGTTTCCATCCAAAAGCTTTGATCATCATGCCGTTCCATATCCAGAAGCTGCAGCAAAGTCGAATACTGAAAACAATACTATGCACCCAATCAAACATTCTGCACCTCAATTTGCCCTCCATTTGCAACCAACAGTCTGCGCAATAATTTTGATAGCTCTACACGATCTCGAAGAATGCTTTCTGAACAAGATATCTGAGCGCTTAATTTACTGACTAAACTTGATAATGGTACGTCGATATTCACAAGTGGTAGATCCAAAAGCTTTGTTAATGAACGTGTCGGGTTTAGCTTCAATGCTTCCTTGGCTTCAAGCTTCTCGATTTCCAACGCCTAAATCATAATTGCAATTTTTTGTTAAATCTAGCTAGAAACCCCAAATTAAACCTGAAAGCTGTAAAAACAGCGTGCTTTATAAGTTAAAGTAGTCAAGAATGAGCTAAATGGTTTTGAAAACAAACTTTTCGTATTTTAGCTTCTTCTCGCTGAACTTCAACAGGTGTTCCGTATAATTGTAAAGCTTTCTCGAACGCGTCTTCCAATCTAGCAGCAGATGCTATCGAAAAAGAAATTGACAAACGAAAATTGCAGATTGCATTCATCTGATGACTGCTTTCCAGTGACAAAGCCATCGTTCTCGCGAAGCATTGAACATAACGAATACTTGTCCTAAAAAGAATTATTTGATGAAAAATACATTAAAAAAACAAGCTACCTCTAACGCTGCACTCCATTGATTAAATTTGTCAGAAGTTGGAGTTTCTCGGTCAGAATATTTGTCCCATCTAAACAGCTTGGCAATAAAAAGGCAAGTTCACTCACAAAGGGAGATTTTCCTTGATAAAGTTAATCGAAATAGGCTGACCGTTCGAAAGAGCCATTATCTAAACGTTTAAGTTGTTCTAAAGTATTTTAATCTATAAAAATATTATTTTTTACACCTAAGGCCTTGACCTATTTCACTTAGGTACCTATATTGACACTTACCCATCGATAAAAGTAAAGCGCATCATCGGCCTTTTGACCCAAGGCCTTATTTTCCTCTAACCCTTGTGAAAAGATATCATGGCGAGTTGGGCCACGGCAGGATTCTTGTAGAATGATTCTAAAAACAGAATAAATAGCTTAAAATACTCTTAAAAAAGGCTTTGGCAAAAGGCAAAACATCCTGAAATGGACTAGTACTTCACACGATTTAGTAAACCCAACCGACTTTGATCGAATAAAAAGCCTTTATTTAGATTCAATTCAAAAAATTCATACTCGGCATTCCTTCTCGTCGAAAGCCACTCGAGTGTCGACTGTTGTTTGGGCTTTGTGCTGGTGAGTTCCACATTTCGGTATCTGAGAAGAAAACTAGGTAAGTTATTAAAAAGGGTCGGCTCATAAAGAAAAACTATATGAACCAAGTGATAGAAATAAAAACAATGCAATTCCTTTATATACGCTTTCCCATAATCATTAAATTTCTCTTGATTTTTGATTGAATACTCTAACCGCAAACAAAATTCTTTATGAAAATGTGTTACTAACGTTTTTCTCTTATTTCGCACATCTTTCTTCTATCATGTTTTCACGATCTCGTATCTTTATGTTACTTACCATAATACCTGTAGTCGTAGCCCCCCGTACTGTCGCGTAGTCTAACACTCAATTTTGTGACGCTCGGTCCTCAGCGCTGCTTCGAACGAAAAATGTGCGCTTAGATATTAGATACGCGCCTGTACTTCATTATGAGAGGGGGCGCTACTATTACAGGTATTACGATAATATTTTTGCATCCCTTCTATACAAGCTTTTTTAGAAGGGTGTTTTACAACGATTACGAACCGAGCGGAAATCATGGAAAGCTTTAAGAAAGAGCAACTGAATGTAAGACGTTTTGCCATAATTGGTTTTAAATGTTTTGACTTGTGATTGCTTTTTGAGTAGATTTTTCGTGGAAGTTTTCCTTTAGCACATGCCAACCTCGTCTGTCAACTTCCTTGAAGAACTTCCCGATGTCGTCTTCTATGCGGTGATGGGGAAACTTCCTGCACGCGTCATCGAAAAGTTAGCAGCCTTCATCTTCTAACTTTAATCTTTGCTTTAGTACTATTCGACAACTCTCAAGGGATTGCTATAGAAAGGTCGAGCTGCGCAGAGCAAGACTTCCTCGTGTTTATATCAGTGTGCTTTATGTTCATGGTAACAGGGTAAGGTATTGTGTGTTAGTTACAAAAACATAGGTTTCAGTTTCGATTTATACATAGCGCAAGGAACGACTATGAGGAAAAGGTAGATCCAGCTAAATTAATTCAACATTTGGAGTATTTGAATGAGCGTGTCACCTTCAACACCCTCCGTTTGGTTAGTTTTCGGTAATATTTTATGGGACTTAAAATCTGTCTTTAGAACGATGTCGATTGGGATATGTTTGCAAATTGCAAGTTCAAATGCGAAGAATTGTCATGTTTTGTCAGTGGAACGACTCTTTCGCCGGAAAGATTCATGGATATTTTTCGCAGTATAAGACCAACACGCAAGCTAGGTATTTATGTAAGCTTGTATTGAACGGATCAAAATTAGGCTGATTAAGGCGTATGGGGACAACAAGCTTTTTCCTGTTACGAGAGACTTTTTCACCAATAATTATGCGATTGGATTGCAAGAAGTTGGGCTGATTGGCCACGGGAATGCCATGATTGATCCAATAAATAACACGGTTTGTTTTGATTTAACTGTCAATGAACAATTTTTGTTGCGACGCTTGCTCCGCATAATATTTATTGTTTAGGTCTTGTTGGATTCAACTCCTTTGATTTTTTACGGTCATTTTCCAAGAAGTTTCGGGTGCACTCTTAATGGGATTCTAACGATGATTCGAGACTGGTACACTTCAGAGCGTCAAATTGATCAAATTGGCCTTCGAGTAGTTGGAGGGGAAGCAGAACGTCGAAATGTGAGCTCTTTTAACTTTTTTATTTTGCTGAAAATAATTTGGATGCAGTTTTTAAAAAATCCGCAAGATCGACTTAACTACTCTAGTCTAGATAGCTTAGATAATCATTGAAAAGCGATTCCAGGCAATTGGTAGTTTTTCCAGTAAAATTGTGCAATTTTTAGTTCTTGCGCAACTTACCTGGGTTGCAGGTTGTTAAACGGCTCCGCGGCGAGGGCTACGTCGAAGATGTCCGCGCTTTGAAAAGAGCAAATGGGGACGTTGTTCAGCTTTGTGTTTGCAGTGATGGAATAGGTCATATTGAGTATGTTTTAGCATGTTTTTCTAACGTATGAAACGCATTCAATGAAAATATCTATTACAAAATTGTTTTAGTATCTCCATGGTTCGACTAGTGCCCGGCCCGGAAGCTGGCTTATATAAGCGGTATGATGACGTGGAATAATGCACAATTTAGTCCCGATTTTGAATTAAAAGCTGTATTTTGTTCTCTATAAATTTGTAATGTATTGTAAAGCTTAAGTTTTCATGTTGTAAATTTTGTCCATTGTAATTGCTATTTCTTGAAAAGTACATAGTACTACTAATGTCCGATTTGAAACTCTTCTCACACTGAATAAATCCTTCGTGATTTGATTGTTCTTGATGCTTTTGTTTAATCCGTTTAATCAAAAATAATAATTTCAAAAACTTCCAAATAACGATGCGTCTTGTTATACTTGTTCCCCTCTGTACTTGCTTCAAATTACTCAGGAACTCGAGAATCAGGCCATAACATCACTCTGCTGAGAAATCTAAAAATAATTCAAAAGGGCACTTTTTTCTTCAAAACTACTTTTTCTGGGATAGTTTTATGCGTAAATTCCAAAAAACACAACGATAGCTTAGGAAAAGCCGTTTTAAGACGAGTTTCGGGGCTCGAAAGTGGGCGCTTCTATAGTGTACTTCACTAAAATTAAACCAAAGAGACATCGAAACAATATTTTTTTTAATTTTGACTCGTGTGTGGGACCACAGGGTCGAAATTTGGAAAAAAATATTTTTCTGATTTTTCTCCAATTTGATCATAAGGAAGGACTTTAAGAAGGAGCAACTGAATGTAAGACGTTTTGCTATAATTGGTTTTAAATGTTGTGGTTTGTGATTGCTTTCCAGTAGATGTTTCCTGCAAGTTTTCCTTTAGCACATGCCAACCTCGTCTGTCAACTTCCTTGAAGAACTTCCCGATGTCGTCTTCTATGCGGTGATGGGGAAACTTCCTGGATGGGTCATCGAAAAGTTAGCAGTCTTCATCTTCTAACTTTAATCTTTGCTTTAGTACTGTTCGACAACTCTCAAGGAATTGCTATAGAAAAATCGAACTGTGCAGAGCAAGACTCCCTCGTGTTTATATCAAGGTGCTTGATGTTAGAGGGAATACGGTAAGGTATTGTTGTGCTAGTTATAAAAACATAGGTTTTAGTTTTCCTATAGAAGGCCTGACGATAAAGAAAGGAACGTCTATGCGGAAAGGATCGACCCAACTAACTTGATTCAACATTTGGAATATTTGAAAAAGCGTGCAACCTTCGAGACCCTCTGTTTGGTTAGTTTTCCGTAATATTTCATGGGACTTAAAATCTGTCTTTTAGCGGGATGTCAATTGGGACATGTTTGCGAATTGCGAGTTCCAATGCGAAGAATTGACTTGTTGGGCGATGGATACGACTCTTTCGCCGGAAAGATTCACGGATATTTTTCGCAGTATAAGACCAACACGCAAGCTAGGTATTTATGTAAGTTGGTATTGAACAAATCAAAATTAGACTGATTAAGGCGTATCGGAACAACAAAATTTTTCCGGTTACGACAGACTTTTTCACGGATTTCACGGATTTTCACGGATTGCAATCTTTTTTTCTGTTGTGTGGTTCCGGGAATGCCATGGTTAATCCACTAAATGACACGGTTTCTTTTGATTTAACTGCCAATGAACAATTTTTGTTACGACGCATACTCAGCATAATATTTATTGTTTAGATCTTGTTGGATTCAACTTTTCCGATTTTTCGCTTTTTTTTTTCAAGAAATTGCGGGTTCACTCTTAATGGGATTCTAGCGATGATCCGAGACTGGTACACTTCGGAGCGTCAAGTTGATTACATTGAGCTTCAAGTAGTTGGTGGGGAAGCGCAACATCAAAATGTGAGTTCTTTTAACTTTCTTATTTTGCTGAAATAATTCGGATGCAGTTTTTAAAAATCCGAAAGATTCTATTCTAGTCTAAATAGCCTAGATAATCATTGAAAAGCAACTCAAATCAACGGTAGTTTTCCCGATAAAATTGTTCAATTTTTAGTTCTGGCACAACTTAGCGGGATTGCTAGTTGATAAAAGGCTCCTCTACGATGGTTGCATCTCTTCTCGGCCCGCTTTGGAAAGAGTAAATGGGGACGTCCTTAAGCTTTCTGTTCACATTCGACTAGGAGACTATCTTAAGTATGTTTAAGCAAGGTTTTTTCTAACGTATGAAACGCATTCAATGAAAATATCTATTACAAAATTGTTTTAGTATCTCCATGGTTCGACTAGTGCCCGGCCCGGAAGCTGGCTTATATCGGCGGTATGATGACGTGGAATAATGCACAATTCAGTCCCGATTTTGAATTAAAATCTGTATTTTGTTCTCTATAAATTTGTAATGTATTTTAAAGCTTAAGTTTTCATGTTGTAAATTTTGTCCATTGCTATTTCTTGAAAAGTACATAGCATAGTACCACTAATGGCCGATTTGAAACTCATCTCACACTGAATAAATCCTTCATGATTTGATTGTTCTTGATGCTTTCGTTTTTCGTTTTTCGTTTAATCCGTTTAATCAAAAATAAGAATTTCAAAAACTTGCAAATAACAATGCGTCTTTTTAAATTTTATTGCCCTCTGTACTTGCTTAAAATTACTCAGGAACTCGAGAATCAGGCCATAACATCACTCGGCTGAGAAATCTAAAAATAATCCCCAAGCGTTCCCTGAAATCAACGCAATAGACCTGGCGTCATTTGTCCAATCAGTGAAAGAGGATTGAATTTGGGCTTTTTATGTGAAGAGAAAGGTGGTTCCTCGAAATCAGTAAGTCTTATCAATCATTTGAAAGCCATAAATAAAGCTTGATTTCGCTTTTTTTTTTGAAGAAAACCCTTTCCCAATATTCTTTTACCGTTTTTAAAATTGAGTTTTTCTTTAAATTTAGTTTGAGAGTTTGTTAGAAGCTCTGAATAGAAACTTCCGGTCTCGGCTGAAAGTTCCTTTATTCACATCAATCCTCTTTTGTCACTTTTGGTTTCATATTTCTGTTTAGTTGTTTGTGAAAGTTTGAAATTATTATTTTTGATAAGAGTCAAAAAAAAAGTCGTTATGAGATTTTTAGACAACTAGAGCACTTATAGGCAAAAATTAAAACACTCAGTGTGACAAGGATTACAAACTTTAAGCGTAATCAAACTTGATATATTAAACTGTTTTGTCAGAATTGTATCTTGAACGTAACTATATTTTACCGAATTTAGTGTCTTCTGCAAAGACGTACTTTTCAGAGATGAGAACCCTCCTTTGTCTGATCGTTGTCCTTTCCATTGCTTACTGTATGCCAAAAGAAGTGAGTTGATTTTCAAGTTTTATTCATAGAGAAAAATATTTTGAGAGTCCAGAAAATAGTTACCTATTTTGTTGTTTATTTTAGATCTTGTTAGATTCGAAAAAAGACTATTGAACATTTTATCTCCGTTTTCCAAGAAGCTCTAAACTCCACCGTCGATTTTTTGCGATCGACCTAACCGATTTAGCTGATTTTAGTACCAATCGATAGGCAATGACTAGATCTATCGATTGGTGTTGAAACCAACCAAATCTGTTTAGCCAATCACGAGAAATGAAAGGTTTTGAGGATCAAATGTCACTGAATCTCGAAGAAAAAGGCGCTTAGAGAGCGGTTGGAGACTACTGTGGATGCCCTCATGCCTGTCACTTGCCACAATGCCCGAGTGTTGAGGAAGAAGTGCCGAAAGTGAAAGCTTGTGGACCACCTCAATGCCCATTTGAAGAAAAGATCAAAGAGGAACCAAAAGGCAAATCACATGTCAATGTGCCCAAACTGAACTAATAAATCATCTTTGTACAGCAAAAAAAAACGTTTAAAATCGAGATACAGCAAATGAATAGTACACAAAAAAGTCCTAACGGAAGACTCAAAATAACTGAAAGAAAGCTATTCATTTTTTGGGAAACGACTACATTTATTTCAGCTTTTAAGAAAAAGAAAAACGAAACGTAGCTACAGGATTGGATGGGTGTTCTGAAAAAGAAACAATTCACGTATTATTATGTACTACATTTATCGAAACCGGAAATACCAATCCCTTCGATTCTATAGGCTCAATACTGATATCGACGCTTTTTTTTAAATGGTCATTTTCTGACGCGAAAGTCTCTAGATTGTCCAATTGGGCTATTTTTGTTAGGAAATTTGATGAGAATCTATCGATTTGTACCAAAAAAAGCGGGCAATCATTATTTTCCAGTTAAGAAATTGACGAATTTCTTAGCTGAAACATGTGTAACAAAATGTTGCAATCAGATTTTTGATTTACCGATATGCAATTTTTTTTTCTTTTATAGTGTAACCGATGTGCTAGGGTACAATTTTTCGGCTCCTGGGTAGAATCCGGGACTTTTGGAAACATATGGGGCTTTTGGAAAAATATGGGACTTTTGAAACAATCTGGGACTTTTAAAAAAATCTGGGCTTTTTCGAGAAATTTATCGCCGATTAAAGAAACTTTCTTTTAGAGTTTTAGGTAGCCAAATTTCGTTTAAATCATTCTTTTTGGGGAATTCTTGGGGAAAATAGTATTCTAGTCAATTTCAAACTAAGTTAGACTCAAATTTGCTCAAAAAGTCAAACACTTCAAACGAACTTTTTAATGTAAAATTTAATGACTTCTTTTGTCTAATGAAACATTTTTTAACAAAAACTAGCGGAAAAAAGTAACGTAAAACATTCTCCCATCCTTTTTGCACTTTTAACCTTTTAGAAACCAAGCTTTGTTTCTGCATTAATGTTATTTTAGAGCTTGTTCAGATCCACGGATCTTGCTGATGAGTCGATTCCTTTAAAGAGGAGCCACGGATGGATGGAGTAATTCTTGAAACGACACTAATTCTCCTTGAGGACTACAACAACTAAATGCCAAAAGACGCCAAGCAAATTCGAGAAGTCCATCGTCAAACATATCCTGTTGACGAGCAAAACAATCGACGAGGGAAATTTCAAGCACATTTCAAGCAAGTCAGTTGTTTGTGAATCCAAGTCCAAAAAATTTAATTAAAGCATCAAAAACTACAAATCCTTTATGTATTGAAGTTATCGTGCAATTGCTGCAATTGCAATTGCTAAAAATAGAAACTGTTGTGCAAAATGTAATGGAAAATCTGCAAACGCAATGAATTTTTGGTTCAATGGTTTGTGCTAAATCCAGCCGATATTTGCTGGTGAATGGATGTAATGAATCGTAGAATTTACAGCCGTGCCACTTCTGTTTTTTTGGTTGTTAGGTGTGAATTGGGATTAGCTCTTTTGAGACTATAAAAGTAGGGTCACTAGCATTTAATCTGCCACTTTTATAGACTAACAAACTAGAATTTGTTATTGTAATGTTTGTTACCCATTTTGTTACCATCAATCTTTCAATCCAAAAGATTCAACCTCAATTTCGTCTTGTTTGAATGATTGTTGAGATTTGAGTAAACAAGTTTGGAATTAAGATGATAGCGATCAGATGCGAGCTTAGAACATACTATCAGGTTGGCTGGAAAGTTTTGTCCGCTTTTTTTCAAGGTTACTTGTTGAAATAAATAATGAACCAATCAATCTATGGTTTATTTTATCAGAAAGTCCTTTACTTTATTTACAAATTACCCTTTAAGAAATTCTGAAAAGTTAGTTAATTTTTTAAACGATTTGTTTCAAAGTGGACTCAAATTTGTCTAAAGAATGTCTATAGTTAATCTTTTTTATTTAAAGCAAACAACACGTTGATCGTCTAATTATTCATTTATAAACGAAAATTTCAAAAAGGCGGACAAAATGACATTATTTGGAAAAAGAAATGAACATTTGCTGTCATTTTATTTATTGATAGCATACTGTCAGGGTTGTTCCAGGGTCAAAATCTCGGGTTATCTGTTTGACCAAATCGAGCGGCGACTATTGAGAAAATTAAAATCTAGAGATCTTATGTGTTCTTGTTGAGCTATGATTCTTCGATCCCCTCGATGTTTGAGCTTTTCCATTCAGAAATCCTCTATTTTGATTTAAACTCTTTTTTCTCTAATGAAGGCCAAAGATCCGGATAAAAGAAGAATTCGAAAAATGAGTAATTTCTTTGTTCCTGATTTTTGAAAGGATCGTTAATTGCATTCCGTTTTGTAAAAATTTTGTTTTTTGGTTCGTTATTTGCCCACAGAAATGTATTTAAAACCATTTTTAGGTAAAGGAAAGCTCCATTTTTTTCACTAAAATTGCAACATCATCTTTGCTTTTTGAAGAATTCGCTTTGCTTTTTACTTTCGTCACTCGACTCTGAAAAATGGATGTAAGATAGTTTAACGTGAAATATTGGGTAATTGAGGAGTTTTATTGTATATTTTTTGTTTAAGACAATCAGACATTTGATGGGTTATCCATCGTCTTATTACAACTGCTCGGGGAAAACGTACGAAGAATGGATGTTGACCGGCGAGAAATGGCCGTTTCTTGGACATCTCTTGATGATTCTCGGCGCTTTGTATTTCAGAATTTCTTAAAGGGTAATTTGTAAATAAAGAAAGGGACTTTCTGATAAAATAAACCAAAAAGCGGACAAAACTTTCCAGCCAACCTCCTTTATGTTCTAAGCTCGCATCTGATCGCTATTATCTTAATTCCAAACTTGTTGACTCAAATCTCAACAATCATTCAAACAAGACGAAATTGAGGTTGAATCTTTTGGATTGAAATCTATTGGATTGAAATCTTTTGAATTGAAATCTTTTGGATTGAAAGATTAATGGTAACAAAATGGTTAACAAACATTACAATAACAAATTCTAGTTTGTTTGTCTTTAAAAGTGGCAGATGAAATGCTAGTGACCCTACTTTTATAGTCTCAAAAGAGCTAATCCCAATTTAATAACAATAGATAACAAGGTTACAATCCAACCCTATAAGATTGACAAAAGTAGCACATTTTAATTTGATATTGGCTAAATGTTTTCTTTTAAATTGTTAAAGGCATTCATCCCGACCCGCTTTTTTTCTGGTCTCTTTGAATTTGGCTCTCTACGGGGCGCCTCCAGAAGGGAGTCTTTTCTCATACGCCAACATTCCGTTTCCTCTAAAAGCCCCCACAGTTTCTTTTTTTAATCGAGTTATTAAATTCTGGAACATTTTACCCCCTCATGTTCGTGATATTCCCACCTTGGCCAGATTTAATGCCGCAACTTCGGCAATTGATTTGATTGCTCTGTGATTCTTTCTGGAGGTATCTTTTTATCTTTTGGGTGTGTTTTGAGTGGTGTCCCGGGTAATTATTGTGATTTTGTTTTGTCGCTATAATAATGGTGAATATATTTTGGATTAAACTGTGTTGTTTCTGTTTTTAAGATAAATTTTGTCGACTACTCAAACGCTCGTTTATATCCCAACAACTAATAACTAGTAAGCTAATTAGTAAGCTAACTCGTAAGCTAACTAGTAAGTTAATTATTAGGTTGGTGAGAAAATAATCGAAATTTGGAGCCTCTAACTTCAAATCCAAAACTAAAAGTCAAGAAAAAATGAATTTATTCAAAGTAAAAGCCATCAGCATCTATACACTGCTGCCAACGCGAAACAAGTTTTCCAATTCCATCAGAATAGAAATTTGGCGTTCTCGAGTCGATAAACTGTTGGAAAGCGTTTTCGGCCTCGCTTTGATTCTTGTACTGTTTATCTTCTAGAAAATGACACAGACGCTTCAAAAAGTGGAAATCCGTAGGAGAAAGATCTGGTGAATAAGGTGGGTGACTAAGGATTTCGTTGCCCAGCTCGCTCAATTTTTTGATGGTATTGGTTGCAATGTGCGGGCGAGCGTTGTCGTGAAGCAAGACAGGGCCTTTCCGATTCACCAAACCTGGATCCAAAATTATCAATTTTGTATGCATTTTTTTCTATTTCCAAAATATATTGGTCCGAATTCATCGAATTTCCTGTTTTCAAGAAAGAAAAATGTATTATTCCTTTAATAAACCACCAAACAGTAATCATCACCTTTTTTTGATGAAATGGACATAGTCAGACGGGACACAATGTGACTAACAACGTTTTCCATCATCGAGTAAGTCACGATCCTCTTCTATGAAATGAAAATGTTTCGGGTAGAATAAACCAGTATATTCTTTTTCTTTTCTTTTCAACCCAAAAAATTAACTAAACAACATGATATATTAAACAATAAATATGCTCGGCGTTAACATGTTCACGTAGATCAATCGTCATCTAAAATTTACAAAATCTATAAGCACTTTTGCTGGCCGCTTGCCTATGTATTTTGTTAAAGGTTTACCTTGATCATCATCTTCGAGACCGGTCGTTTTCTTCTCTTCTTTCGCCCACTTCTCTTTGTGAAAGACCAATTCAAAACTAAAAAAAATTCAAAACAATATTTAAACTGATTAGCGAATTTGAACTCACTGTGCATCACATTATCGTAGGTAAAAACATCACTGAACAATTTAGCTATTAACACCAAGCTCGAGTCGGGATCCAAATCGAAAATCTAAAAATGAAATCCATGAGTTGACAAAAATCAAGTAGTTTACCTTGCAAATATTAACTTTTTCTTCAAACTTGAGCTCCTTCTCTAGGAAATAGGCAATCATTCGGGGTATAAAGTTTAGAGTCGTTGTTAACTAAAGCATCATGTAAAATATTGAAGTTGTGCATTTATACCCTTTGAAGATCTTCCTGCTCGTCAAATGTAAGTTCTCGAAGCTTGAGCCAAAAAAAAACACGGCGTCACTTTGAGAGCTAAAAATGTGTTAAAATCACATCCACCACAAAACCAACCTTTTACCAGCTGAAAAAAGACGTTTCGCTTTCTCGGGAGCATTCGGATCGATTTCCCAATAAAAGCCACCAAATTCATGGACACCCTAAAGAAAATAATGACACTTTACTATCGCTCTAACCTTTAAAACCTAGGTTGTCAAAATTATTGCGAACGCATACCGGAATTATTGTTTCCATCCAAAAGCTTTGATCATCATGCCGTTCCACATCCAGAAGCTCAGCAAAGAAAAAAATACTGAAAACAATACTATGCACCCAATCAAACATTCTGCACCTCAATTTGCCCTCCATTTGCAACCAACAGTCTGCGCAATAATTTTGATAGCTCTACACGATCTCGAAGAATGCTTTCTGAACAAGATATCTGAGCGCTTAATTTACTGACTAAACTTGATAATGGTACGTCGATATCCACAAGTGGTAGATCCAAAAGCTTTGTTAATGAACGTGTAGGGTTTAGCTTCAATGCTTCCTTGGCTTCAAGCTTCTCGATTTCCAACGCCTAAATCATAATTGCAATTTTTTGTTAAATCTAGCTAGAAACCCCAAATTAAACCTGAAAGCTGTAAAAACAGAGTGCTTTATGAGTTAAAGTAGTCAAGAATGACCTAAATGATTTTGAAAACAAACTTTTCGTATTTTGGCTTCTTCTCGCTGAACTTCCACAGGTGTTCCGTATATTTGTAAAGCTTTCTCGAACGCAGCAGCAGCAGACGAAAAAGAAATTGACAAACGAAAATTGCAGATTGCATTCATCTGATGACTGCTTTCCAGTGACAAAGCCATCGTTCTCGCGAAGCATTGAACATAACGAATACTTGTCCTAAAAACAATTATTTGATGAAAAATACATTAAAAAAACAAGCTACCTCTAACGCTGCACTCCATTGATTAAATTTGTCAGAAGTTGGAGTTTCTCGGTCAGAATATTTGTCCCATCTAAACAGCTTGACAATAAAAAGGCAAGTTCACTCACAAAGGGAGATTTTCCTTGATAAAGTTAATCGAAATAGGCTGACCGTTCGAAAGAGCCATTATCTAAACGTTTAAGTTGTTCTAAAGTATTTTAATCTATAAAAATATTATTTTTTACACCTAAGGCCTTGACCTATTTCACTTAGGTACCTATATTGACACTTACCCATCGATAAAAGTAAAGCGCATCATCGGCCTTTTGACCCAAGGCCTTATTTTCCTCTAACCCTTGTGAAAAGATATCATGGCGAGTTGGGCCACGGCAGGATTCTTGTAGAATGATTCTAAAAACAGAATAAATAGCTTAAAATACTCTTAAAAAAGGCTTTGGCAAAAGGCAAAACATCCTGAAATGGACTAGTACTTCACACGATTTAGTAAACCCAACCGACTTTGATCGAATAAAAAGCCTTTATTTAGATTCAATTCAAAAAATTCATACTCGGCATTCCTTCTCGTCGAAAGCCACTCGAGTGTCGACTGTTGTTTGGGCTTTGTGCTGGTGAGTTCCACATTTCGGTATCTGAGAAGAAAACTAGGTAAGTTATTAAAAAGGGTCGGCTCATAAAGAAAAACTATATGAACCAAGTGATAGAAATAAAAACAATGCAATTCCTTTATATACGCTTTCCCATAATCATTAAATTTCTCTTGTTTGATTTTTTTTTTGATTGAATACTCTAACCGCAAACAAAATTCTTTATGAAAATGTGTTACTAACGTTTTTCTCTTATTTCGCACATCTTTCTTCTATCATGTTTTCACGATCTCGTATCTTTATGTTACTTACCATAATACCTGTAGTCGTAGCCCCCCCCCCCGTACTGTCGCGTAGTCTAACACTCAATTTTGTGACGCTCGGTCCTCAGCGCTGCTTCGAACGAAAAATGTGCGCTTAGATATTAGATACGCGCCTGTACTTCATTATGAGAGGGGGCGCTACTATTACAGGTATTACGATAATATTTTTGCATCCCTTCTATACAAGCTTTTTTAGAAGGGTGTTTTACAACGATTACGCACCGAGCGGAAATCATGGAAAGCTTTAAGAAAGAGCAACTGAATGTAAGACGTTTTGCCATAATTGGTTTTAAATGTTTTGACTTGTGATTGCTTTTTGAGTAGATTTTTCGTGGAAGTTTTCCTTTAGCACATGCCAACCTCGTCTGTCAACTTCCTTGAAGAACTTCCCGATGTCGTCTTCTATGCGGTGATGGGGAAACTTCCTGGATGGGTCATCGAAAAGTTAGCAGTCTTCATCTTCTAACTTTAATCTTTGCTTTAGTACTGTTCGACAACTCTCAAGGAATTGCTATAGAAAAATCGAACTGTGCAGAGCAAGACTTCCTCGTGTTTATATCAGTTTGCTTTATGTTCATGGTAACAGGGTAAGGTATTGTGTGTTAGTTACAAAAACATAGGTTTCAGTTTCGATTTATACATAGCGCAAGGAACGACTATGAGGAAAAGGTAGATCCAGCTAAATTAATTCAACATTTGGAGTATTTGAATGAGCGTGTCACCTTCAACACCCTCCGTTTGGTTAGTTTTCGGTAATATTTTATGGGACTTAAAATCTGTCTTTAGAACGATGTCGATTGGGATATGTTTGCAAATTGCAAGTTCAAATGCGAAGAATTGTCATGTTTTGTCAGTGGAACGACTCTTTCGCCGGAAAGATTCATGGATATTTTTCGCAGTATAAGACCAACACGCAAGCTAGGTATTCATGTAAGCTTGTATTGAACGGATCAAAATTAGGCTGATTAAGGCGTATGGGGACAACAAGCTTTTTCCTGTTACGAGAGACTTTTTCACCAATAATTATGCGATTGGATTGCAAGAAGTTGGGCTGATTGGCCACGGGAATGCCATGATTGATCCAATAAATAACACGGTTTGTTTTGATTTAACTGTCAATGAACAATTTTTGTTGCGACGCTTGCTCCGCATAATATTTATTGTTTAGGTCTTGTTGGATTCAACTCCTTTGATTTTTTACGGTCATTTTCGAAGAAGTTTCGGGTGCACTCTTAGTGGGATTCTAACGATGATTCGAGACTGGTACACTTCAGAGCGTCAAATTGATCAAATTGGCCTTCGAGTAGTTGGAGGGGAAGCAGAACGTCGAAATGTGAGCTCTTTTAACTTTTTTATTTTGCTGAAAATAATTTGGATGCAGTTTTTAAAAAATCCGCAAGATCGACTTAACTACTCTAGTCTAGATAGCTTAGATAATCATTGAAAAGCGATTCCAGGCAATTGGTAGTTTTTCCAGTAAAATTGTGCAATTTTTAGTTCTTGCGCAACTTACCTGGGTTGAAGGTTGTTAAACGGCTCCGCGGCGAGGGCTACGTCGAAGATGTCCGCGCTTTGAAAAGAGCAAATGGGGACGTTGTTCAGCTTTGTGTTTGCAGTGATGGAATAAGTCATAATGAGTATGTTTTAGCATGTTTTTCTAACGTATGAAACGCATTCAATGAAAATATCTATTACAAAATTGTTTTAGTATCTCCATGGTTCGACTAGTGCCCGGCCCGGAAGCTGGCTTATATAAGCGGTATGATGACGTGGAATAATGCACAATTTAGTCCCGATTTTGAATTAAAAGCTGTATTTTGATCTCTATAAATTTGTAATGTATTGTAAAGCTTAAGTTTTCATGTTGTAAATTTTGTCCATTGCTATTTCTTGAAAAGTACATAGTACTACTAATGTCCGATTTGAAACTCTTCTCACACTGAATAAATCCTTCGTGATTTGATTGTTCTTGATGCTTTTGTTTAATCCGTTTAATCAAAAATAATAATTTCAAAAACTTCCAAATAACGATGCGTCTTGTTATACTTGTTCCCCTCTGTACTTGCTTCAAATTACTCAGGAACTCGAGAATCAGGCCATAACATCACTCTGCTGAGAAATCTAAAAATAATTCAAAAGGGCACTTTTTTCTTCAAAACTACTTTTTCTGGGATAGTTTTATGCGTAAATTCCAAAAAACACAACGATAGCTTAGGAAAAACCGTTTTAAGACGAGTTTCGGGGCTCGAAAGTGGGCGCTTCTATAGTGTACTTCACTAAAATTAAACCAAAGAGACATCGAAACAATATTTTTTTTAATTTTGACTCGTGTGTGGGACCACAGGGTCGAAATTTGGAAAAAAATATTTTTCTGATTTTTCTCCAATTTGATCATAAGGAAGGACTTTAAGAAGGAGCAACTGAATGTAAGACCTTTGCTATAATTGGTTTTAAATGTTGTGGTTTGTGATTACTTTCCAGTAGATGTTTCCTGCAAGTTTTCCTTTAGCATATGCCAACCTCGTCTGTCAACTTCCTTGAAGAACTTCCCGATGTCGTCTTCTATGCGGTGATGGGGAAACTTCCTGGATGGGTCATCGAAAAGTTAGCAGTCTTCATCTTCTAACTTTAATCTTTGCTTTAGTACTGTTCGACAACTCTCAAGGAATTGCTATAGAAAAATCGAACTGTGCAGAGCAAGACTCCCTCGTGTTTATATCAAGGTGCTTGATGTTAGAGGGAATACGGTAAGGTATTGTTGTGCTAGTTATAAAAACATAGGTTTTAGTTTTCCTATAGAAGGCCTGACGATAAAGAAAGGAACGTCTATGCGGAAAGGATCGACCCAACTAACTTGATTCAACATTTGGAATATTTGAAAAAGCGTGCAACCTTCGAGACCCTCTGTTTGGTTAGTTTTCCGTAATATTTCATGGGACTTAAAATCTGTCTTTTAGCGGGATGTCAATTGGGACATGTTTGCGAATTGCGAGTTCCAATGCGAAGAATTGACTTGTTGGGCGATGGATACGACTCTTTCGCCGGAAAGATTCACGGATATTTTTCGCAGTATAAGACCAACACGCAAGCTAGGTATTTATGTAAGTTGGTATTGAACAAATCAAAATTAGACTGATTAAGGCGTATCGGAACAACAAAATTTTTCCGGTTACGACAGACTTTTTCACGGATGGTTATGCGATTGGATTGCAAGACGTTCTGTTGTGTGGTTCCGGGAATGCCATGGTTAATCCACTAAATGACACGGTTTCTTTTGATTTAACTGCCAATGAACAATTTTTGTTACGACGCATACTCAGCATAATATTTATTGTTTAGATCTTGTTGGATTCAACTTTTCCGATTTTTCGCTTTTTTTTTCAAGAAATTGCGGGTTCACTCTTAATGGGATTCTAGCGATGATCCGAGACTGGTACACTTCGGAGCGTCAAGTTGATTACATTGAGCTTCAAGTAGTTGGTGGGGAAGCGCAACATCAAAATGTGAGTTCTTTTAACTTTCTTATTTTGCTGAAATAATTCGGATGCAGTTTTTAAAAATCCGAAAGATTCTATTCTAGTCTAAATAGCCTAGATAATCATTGAAAAGCAACTCAAATCAACGGTAGTTTTCCCGATAAAATTGTTCAATTTTTAGTTCTGGCACAACTTAGCGGGATTGCTAGTTGATAAAAGGCTCCTCTACGATGGTTGCATCTCTTCTCGGCCCGCTTTGGAAAGAGTAAATGGGGACGTCCTTAAGCTTCGTGTTGACATTCGATTAGGAGACTATCTTAAGTATGTTTTAGCATGTTTTTTCTAACGTATGAAACGCATTCAATGAAAATATCTATTACAAAATTGTTTTAGTATCTCCATGGTTCGACTAGTGCCCGGCCCGGAAGCTGGCTTATATCGGCGGTATGATGACGTGGAATAATGCACAATTTTGTCCCGATTTTGAATTAAAATCTGTATTTTGTTCTCTATAAATTTGTAATGTATTTTAAAGCTTAAGTTTTCATGTTGTAAATTTTGTCCATTGCTATTTCTTGAAAAGTACATAGCATAGTACCACTAATGGCCGATTTGAAACTCATCTCACACTGAATAAATCCTTCATGATTTGATTGTTCTTGATGCTTTCGTTTTTCGTTTTTCGTTTAATCCGTTTAATCAAAAATAAGAATTTCAAAAACTTGCAAATAACAATGCGTCTTTTTAAATTTTATTGCCCTCTGTACTTGCTTAAAATTACTCAGGAACTCGAGAATCAGGCCATAACATCACTCGGCTGAGAAATCTAAAAATAATCCCCAAGCGTTCCCTGAAATCAACGCAATAGACCTGGCGTCATTTGTCCAATCAGTGAAAGAGGATTGAATTTGGGCTTTTTATGTGAAGAGAAAGGTGGTTCCTCGAAATCAGTAAGTCTTATCAATCATTTGAAAGCCATAAATAAAGCTTGATTTCGCTTTTTTTTTTGAAGAAAACCCTTTCCCAATATTCTTTTACCGTTTTTAAAATTGAGTTTTTCTTTAAATTTAGTTTGAGAGTTTGTTAGAAGCTCTGAATAGAAACTTCCGGTCTCGGCTGAAAGTTCCTTTATTCACATCAATCCTCTTTTGTCACTTTTGGTTTCATATTTCTGTTTAGTTGTTTGTGAAAGTTTGAAATCATTATTTTTGATAAGAGTCAAAAAAAAAGTCGTTATGAGATTTTTAGACAACTAGAGCACTTATAGGCAAAAATTAAAACACTCAGTGTGACAAGGATTACAAACTTTAAGCGTAATCAAACTTGATATATTAAACTGTTTTGTCAGAATTGTATCTTGAACGTAACTATATTTTACCGAATTTAGTGTCTTCTGCAAAGACGTACTTTTCAGAGATGAGAACCCTCCTTTGTCTGATCGTTGTCCTTTCCATTGCTTACTGTATGCCAAAAGAAGTGAGTTGATTTTCAAGTTTTATTCATAGAGAAAAATATTTTGAGAGTCCAGAAAATAGTTACCTATTTTGTTGTTTATTTTAAATCTTGTTAGATTCGAAAAAAGACTATTGAACATTTTATCTCCGTTTTCCAAGAAGCTCCAAACTCCACCGTCGATTTTTTGCGATCGACCTAACCGATTTAGCTGATTTTAGTACCAATCGATAGGCAATGACTAGATCTATCGATTGGTGTTGAAACCAACCAAATCTGTTTAGCCAATCGCGAGAAATGAAAGGTTTTGAGGATCAAATGTCACTGAATCTCGAAGAAAAAGGCGCTTAGAGAGCGGTTGGAGACTACTGTGGATGCCCTCATGCCTGTCACTTGCCACAATGCCCGAGTGTTGAGGAAGAAGTGCCGAAAGTGAAAGCTTGTGGACCACCTCAATGCCCATTTGAAGAAAAGATCAAAGAGGAACCAAAAGGCAAATCACATGTCAATGTGCCCAAACTGAACTAATAAATCATCTTTGTACAGCAAAAAAAACGTTTAAAATCGAGATACAGCAAATGAATAGTACACAAAAAAGTCCTAACGGAAGACTCAAAATAACTGAAAGAAAGCTATTCATTTTTTGGGAAACGACTACATTTATTTCAGCTTTTAAGAAAAAGAAAAACGAAACGTAGCTACAGGATTGGATGGGTGTTCTGAAAAAGGAACAATCGACGAGGGAAATTTCAAGCACATTTCAAGCAAGTCAGTTGTTTGTGAATCCAAGTCCAAAAAATTTAATTAAAGCATCAAAAACTACAAATCCTTTATGTATTGAAGTTATCGTGCAATTGCTGCAATTGCAATTGCTAAAAATAGAAACTGTTGTGCAAAATGTAATGGAAAATCTGCAAACGCAATGAATTTTTGGTTCAATGGTTTGTGCTAAATCCAGCCGATATTTGCTGGTGAATGGATGCAATGAATCGTAGAATTTACAGCCGTGCCACTTCTGTTTTTTTGGTTGTTAGGTGTGAATTGGGATTAGCTCTTTTGAGACTATAAAAGTAGGGTCACTAGCATTTAATCTGCCACTTTTATAGACTAACAAACTAGAATTTGTTATTGTAATGTTTGTTACCCATTTTGTTACCATCAATCTTTCAATCCAAAAGATTCAACCTCAATTTCGTCTTGTTTGAATGATTGTTGAGATTTGAGTAAACAAGTTTGGAATTAAGATGATAGCGATCAGATGCGAGCTTAGAACATACTATCAGGTTGGCTGGAAAGTTTTGTCCGCTTTTTTTCAAGGTTACTTGTTGAAATAAATAATGAACCAATCAATCCATGGTTTATTTTATCAGAAAGTCCTTTACTTTATTTACAAATTACCCTTTAAGAAATTCTGAAAAGTTAGTTAATTTTTTAAATGTATGAAGTCGAGAAATCAAAAACGATTTGTTTCAAAGTGGACTCAAATTTGTCTAAAGAATGTCTATAGTCAATCTTTTTTATTTAAAGCAAACAACACGTTGATCGTCTAATTATTCATTTATAAACGAAAATTTCAAAAAGGCGGACAAAATGACATTATTTGGAAAAAGAAATGAACATTTGCTGTCATTTTATTTATTGATAGCATACTGTCAGGGTTGTTCCAGGGTCAAAATCTCGGGTTATCTGTTTGACCAAATCGAGCGGCGACTATTGAGAAAATTAAAATCTAGAGATCTTATGTGTTCTTGTTGAGCTATGATTCTTCGATCCCCTCGATGTTTGAGCTTTTCCATTCAGAAATCCTCTATTTTGATTTAAAGTCTTTTTTCTCTAATGAAGGCCAAAGATCCGGATAAAAGAAGAATTCGAAAAATGAGTAATTTCTTTGTTCCTGATTTTTGAAAGGATCGTTAATTGCGTTCCGTTTTGTAAAAATTTTGTTTTTTGGTTCGTTATTTTCCCACAGAAATGTATTTAAAACCATTTTTAGGTAAAGGAAAGCTCCATTTTTTTCACTAAAATTGCAACATCATCTTTGCTTTTTGAAGAATTCGCTTTGCTTTTTACTTTCGTCACTCGACTCTGAAAAATGGATGTAAGATAGTTTAACGTGAAATATTGGGTAATTGAGGAGTTTTATTGTATATTTTTTGTTTAAGACAATCAGACATTTGATGGGTTATCCATCGTCTTATTACAACTGCTCGGGGAAAACGTACGAAGAATGGATGTTGACCGGCGAGAAATGGCCGTTTCTTGGACATCTCTTGATGATTCTCGGCGCTTTGTATTTCAGAATTTCTTAAAGGGTAATTTGTAAATAAAGAAAGGGACTTTCTGATAAAATAAACCAAAAAGCGGACAAAACTTTCCAGCCAACCTCCTTTATGTTCTAAGCTCGCATCTGATCGCTATTATCTTAATTCCAAACTTGTTGACTCAAATCTCAACAATCATTCAAACAAGACGAAATTGAGGTTGAATCTTTTGGATTGAAATCTATTGGATTGAAATCTTTTGAATTGAAATCTTTTGGATTGAAAGATTAATGGTAACAAAATGGTTAACAAACATTACAATAACAAATTCTAGTTTGTTTGTCTTTAAAAGTGGCAGATGAAATGCTAGTGACCCTACTTTTATAGTCTCAAAAGAGCTAATCCCAATTTAATAACAATAGATAACAAGGTTACAATCCAACCCTATAAGATTGACAAAAGTAGCACATTTTAATTTGATATTGGCTAAATGTTTTCTTTTAAATTGTTAAAGGCATTCATCCCGACCCGCTTTTTTCTGGTCTCTTTGAATTCGGCTCTCTACGGGGCGCCTCCAGAAGGGAGTCTTTTCTCATACGCCAACATTCCGTTTCCTCTAAAAGCCCCCACAGTTTCTTTTTTTAATCGAGTTATTAAATTCTGGAACATTTTACCCCCTCTTTTACCTTCCTTCGTGATATTCCCACCTTGGCTAGATTTAAAGCCGCAATTTTTGCAATCGATTTGACTGCTCTGTGATTCTTTCTTGATGTATCTATTTATCTTTTGGGTGTGTTTTGAGTGGTGTCCCGGGTAATTATTGTGATTTTGTTTTGTCGCTATAATAATGGTGAATATATTTTGGATTAAACTGTGTTGTTTCTGTTTTTAAGATAAATTTTGTCGACTACTCAAACGCTCGTTTATATCCCACAACTAATAACTAGTAAGCTAATTAGTAAGCTAACTCGTAAGCTAACTAGTAAGTTAATTATTAGGTTGGTGAGAAAATAATCGAAATTTGGAGCCTCTAACTTCAAATCCAAAACCAGTATATTCTTTTTCTTTTCTTTTCAACCCAAAAAATTAACTAATCAACATGATATATTAAACAATAAATATGCTCGTCGTTAACATGTTCACGTAGATCAATCGTCATCTAAAATTTACAAAATCTATAAGCACTTTTGCTGACCCCTTGCCTATGTGCCGACCGCTTGCCATCTTCGAGACCGGTCGTCTTCTTATCTTCTTTCGCCCACTTCTCTTTGTGAAAAACCAGTCCTTCAAAACAATATTTAAACTGATTAGCGAATTTGAACTCACTGTGCATCACATTATCGTAGGTAAAAACATCACTGAACAATTTAGCTATTAACACCAAGCTCGAGTCGGGATCCAAATCGAAAATCTAAAAATGAAATCCATGAGTTGACAAAAATCAAGTAGTTTACCTTGCAAATATTAACTTTTTCTTCAAACTCGAGCTCCTTCTCTAGGAAATAGGCAATCATTTGGGGTATAAAGTTTAGAGTCGTTGTTAACTAAAGCATCATGTAAAATATTGAAGTTATGCATTTATACCTTTTGAAGATCTTCCTGCTCGTCAAATGTAAGTTCTCGAAGCTTGAGCCAAAAAAAAAACACGGCGTCACTTTGAGAGCTAAAAATGTGTTAAAATCACATCCACCACAAAACCAACCTTTTACCAGCTGAAAAAAGACGTTTCGCTTTCTCGGGAGCATTCGGATCGATTTCCCAATAAAAGCCACCAAATTCATGGACACCCTAAAGAAAATAATGACACTTTACTATCGCTCTAACCTTTAAAACCTAGGTTGTCAAAATTATTGCGAACGCATACCGGAGTTATTGTTTCCATCCAAAAGCTTTGATCATCATGCCGTTCGATATCCAGAAGTTGCAGCAAAGTCGAATACTGAAAACAATACTATGCACCCAATCAAACATTCTGCACCTCAATTTTCCCTCCATTTGCAACCAACAGTCTGCGTAATAATTTTGATAGCTCTACACGATCTCGAAGGATGCTTTCTGAACAAGATATCTGAGCGCTTAATTTACTAACTATACTTGATAATGGTACGTCGATATTCACAAGTGGTAGATCCAAAAGCTTTGTTAATGAACGTGTCGGGTTTATCTTCAATGCTTCTTTGGCTTCAAGCTTCTCGATTTCCAACGCCTAAATCATAATTGTAATTTTTTGTTAAATCTAGCTAGAAATCCCAAATTAAACCTGAAAGCTGTAAAAACAGCGTGCTTTATAAGTTAAAGTAGTCAAGAATGAGCTAAACGATTTTGAAAACAAACTTTTCGTATTTTAGCTTCTTCTCGCTGAACTTCCACAGGTGTTCCGTATAATTGTAAAGCTTTCTCGAACGCAGCAGCAGCAGACGAAAAAGAAATTGACAAACGAAAACTGCAGATTGCATTCATCTGATGACTGCTTTCCAGTGACAAAGCCATCGTTCTCGCGAAGCATTGAACATAACGAATACTTGTCCTAAAAACAATTATTTGATCAAAAACACATTAAAAAAAAACTAGCTACCTCTAACGCTGCACTCCATTGATTAAATTTGTCAGAAGTTGGAGTTTCTCGCTCAGAATATTTGTCCCATCTAAACAGCTTGACAATAAAAAGGCAAGTTCACTCACAAAGGGAGATTTTCCTTGATCAAGTTAATTGAAATAGGCTCATCGTTCGAAAGAGCCATTATCTAAACGTTTAAGTTGTTCTAAAGTATTTTAATCTATAAAAGATATTATTTTTTACGCCTAAGGCCTTGACCTATTTCACTTAGGTACCTATATTGACACTTACCCATCGATAAAAGTAAAGCGTATCATCGGTCTTTTGTCCCAAGGCCTTATTTTCATCTAATCCTTGTGAAAAGATATTATGGGCGAGTTGGGCCACGACAGGATTCTTGTAGAATGATTCTAAAAACAGGATAAATAGCTTAACATACTCTTAAAAAAGCCGTTTGGCAAAAGGCAAAACATACTCAAATGGATTAGTACTTCACACGATTTAGTAAACCGAACCGAGCTAGTAAAAAGCCCTTTATTTAGATTCAATTCAAAAAATTCATACTCGGCATTCCTTCTCGTCGAAAGCCACTCGAGTGTCGACTGTTGTTTGGGCTTTGTGCTGGTGAGTTCCACATTTATGTATCTGAGAAGAAACTAGTTAAGTTATTAAAAAGGAACGGCTAAAAGAAAAACTATATGAACCAATAAGTGATAGAAATCAAAAAAAAACAATGCAATTCCTTTATATACGTTTTCCCAAAATCATGAAATTTCTATAACTTTATAATTTATAATATTTCTTGTTTGCTTGAATACTCTAACCGCAAACAAAATTCTTTATAAACCGGTGTTACTAACGTTTTTGTCATTTTTCCCATCTTTCTTCTATCATGTTTTCACGATTCATTTTACCTACCGTAATACCTGTAGTCGTAGCGCCCCGCCCCCGTACTGTCGCGTAGTCTAACACACAATTTTGTGACGCTCGGTCCTCAGCGCTGCTTCGAACGAAAAATGTGCGCTTAGATATTATTAGGTTGGCGACATTGAAATTTCGTTTTTTTGCAGCAACAAGTTTATTCGTAAAAATAAACTAGAAACAATTAATCAACAATATATTCCCCACAGCTATCAATAACATTTTTTCCTTCTTCAACGCAAATTATGGATACTCTCTTGAAAGAATTGTGCTGGTTTTGATTGAAAGAAAGCAGAGACCCATTTTCTGATGTCGTCAATGTTCTGGAACTTGTGGCTTTCGAGTGAATGCCGAATACTTCGAAAGAAATGGTAGTCAAACAGGGCAATATCTGGACTATAAGGCGGATGAACTAGAAGTTCCCAGCCCCATTGCTCAATCTTCCCTTGCGTAATTTTGGCAACGTGAGGACAGGCATTGTCTTGTATCCTTTTCAATTCCTTTTGAGCGAGGAACCTCGTCCGCCCGATCTAGTTGTTGAACGTAAAGATTTGCATCAACAGTCTGACCAGAAATTAACACTTCGAAATGGACCAGGCCTCGGGTATTCCACCAAACCGACAGCATAACTTTCTTTGCGTGAAAATCTGGTTTAGGTATTGGCTTTGGAATTTCTCCCGGGTCGAGCCATTGTCTTATCCTTGTAATATTGTCATAATGAATCCATTTCTTATCAGAAGTTAAAATTGCATCCCAAAATCCACTCTTGGAATCATTCTTGGAGATTCTAAGCAAATTTCCTGGACAAAGAACTCTGATGGCTTTGCTTGCATCGCTTAGTGAATGTGGAATCCATTTTCCAGCTTTATTGAGCTTGCCCAATTCATGCAAATGGTTTTCGGTTGTTTTATGATCACAATTAAAATATTCCGCAAGTTCATATGTAGTCTTTATCGGGTCACTTTCGATTATCTGCTTCAAATCGTCGTTTGTCCTCGTCCCAGATCTTCCAGACTTCCGTCACCCATTCGAAATCTTTTGAACCAGTTTTGACATTGATGAACAGTGATAACATCTTTCTCAAATACGTTACAAAGTGATTCATGCGATTCAGTTGCTGTTTTTTCATGTTTGAAATCGTACAGCAACAAATGCGAAGTCGATATTTTGAGGTCATCTAGCATCTATAAGATTTTTTTATTAAAATTCTTCAACTAGAAATAAAGAAAAGACGCGTAATAAAGCACAATAATTATATCTTTAAAACAGAAGATATTGCGGTGGTAATAGTGTGCACAGTGTTAAAATCCATAAAGAGAAACGCAAACGAAATTTCAATGTCGCCAACCTAATAGATACGCGCCTGTACTTCATTATGAGAGGGGGCGCTACTATTACAAGTATTACGATAATATTTTTGCATTCATTCTATACAAGCTTTTTTAGAAGGGTGTTTTAAAACGATTACGAACCGAGCGGAAATCATGAAAAGCTTTAAGAAAGAGCAACTGAATGTAAGACCTTTGCTATAATTGGTTTTAAATGTTGTGGTTTGTGATTACTTTCCAGTAGATGTTTCCTGCAAGTTTTCCTTTAGCATATGCCAACCTCGTCTGTCAACTTCCTTGAAGAACTTCCCGATGTCGTCTTCTATGCGGTGATGGGGAAACTTCCTGCACGCGTCATCGAAAAGTTAGCAGCCTTCATCTTCTAACTTTAATCTTTGCTTTAGTACTATTCGACAACTCTCAAAGGATTGCTATAGAAAGGTCGAGCTGCGCAGAGCAAGACTTCCTCGTGTTTATATCAAGGTGCTTGATATTAGAGGGAACACGGTAAGGTATTGTTGTGCTAGTTATAAAAACATAGGCTTTAGTTTCGCTATAGAAGGCCTAGCAATAGTGCAATGAATGACCTTCACTATGAGGAAACGATCGATCCAGCTAACTTAATTCAACATTTGGAGTATTTGAATGAGCGTGTCACCTTCAACACCCTCCGTTTGGTTAGTTTTCCGTAATATTTTATGGTACTTAAAAGCTGTCTTTTAGAACGATGTCGATTGGGATATTTTTGCAAATTGCAAGTTCAAATGCGAAGAATTGTCATGTTTTGTCAGTGGAACGACTCTTTCGCCGGAAAGATTCATGGATATTTTTCGCAGTATAAGACCAACACGCAAGCTAGATATTTATGTAAGTTTGTATTGAACGAAACAAAATTAGGCTGATCTAGGCGGATGGGGACGACAAAATGTTTCCGGTTACGACAGACTTTTTCACGAATAATTATGCGATTGGATTGCAAGAAGTTCGGTTGGCTGGTTTCGGGATTGATATGGTTAATCCACTAAATGACACGGTTTCTTTTGATTTAACTGCCAATGAACAATTTTTGTTACGACGCATACTCAGCATAATATTTATTGTTTAGATCTTGTTGGATTCAACTTTTCCGATTTTTCGCTTTTTTTTTTCAAGAAATTGCGGGTTCACTCTTAATGGGATTCTAGCGATGATCCGAGACTGGTACACTTCGGAGCGTCAAATTGATCACATTGAGCTTCAAGTAGTTGGTGGGGAAGCGCAACATCAAAATGTGAGTTCTTTTAACTTTCTTATTTTGCTGAAATAATTCGGATGCAGTTTTTAAAAATCCGAAAGATTCTATTCTAGTCTAAATAGCCTAGATAATCATTGAAAAGCAACTCAAATCAACGGTAGTTTTCCCGATAAAATTGTTCAATTTTTAGTTCTTGCACAGCTTAGCTGGATGGCTAGTTGATAAAAGGCTCCTCTCCGATGGTTGCATCTCTTCTCGGCCCGCTTTGGAAAGAGTAAATGGGGACGTCCTTAAGCTTCGTGTTGACATTCGATTAGGAGACTATCTTAAGTATGTTTTAGCATGTTTTTCTAACGTATGAAACGCGTTCAATGAAAATATCTATTACAAAATTGTTTTAGTATCTCCATGGTTCGACTAGTGCCCGGCCCGGAAGCTGGCTTATATAGGCGGTATGATGACGTGGAATAATGCACAATTCATTCCCGATTTTGAATTAAAATCTGTATTTTGTTCGCTATAAATTTGTAATGTATTTTAAAGCTAGGCTTTCATGTTGTAAATTTTGTCCATTGTGATTGCTATTTCTTGAAAAGTACAGTACTTCTCACGGAATAAATCCTTCATGATTTGATTGTTCTTGATGCTTTCGTTTAATCCGTTTAATCAAAAATAAGAATTTCAAAAACTTGCAAATAACAATGCGTCTTTTTATGTTTATTGCCCTCTGTACTTGCTTCAAATTACTCAGGAACTCAAGAATCAGGCCATAACATCACTCGGCTGAGAAATCTAAAAATAATCCCCAAGCGTTCCCTGAAATCCACGCAATAGACCTGGCGTCGTCATTTGTCCAATCAGTGAAAGAGGATTGAATTTGGGCTTTTTACTGGTTGCTGTATCTACAGTACCGTACTGTAGCGTACGATTATTATACAAATAGTCGTGGTTCTAGGAAATCAATTCCATATTCACAATCAGTCACTTGCTTCGGCTATTTCAATAATATTTTCGGGGCGGAATACCACTTGATACAGCGGTGCAATCTTCGTGATCTCAATCACAATCATTTTTTTTCTTGTAACTACCAAAAATAGTTTTTTCAAATCATAAATCATACTGCGAAATCATTTATTTTTCAATTCCCTTGCAATCATTGGCTGGTCGACAAATGTTATTCGGTCCGCAACGTTTCCAGTTTCGTGGACAGCCTCGATCGAAAGATTTCTGAAAACAAAAAATCAACAACTTGATCAGAAAAACGAAAGAAAATGTATGGTAATGTATTTTTATGTATTACAAAGAGACGACAAACCATGAAACGACTCGTGCAATCACAAAAATTGAAAATGCATTGCCCTCCTCCAGCACAATCCGAGTCATTTATACACACTTCACACTAAAAAGATTCCGACTCAATTTATTGTGCATTTTTTCAAATTGTTATTCATTTTTTATAGCAAAACATGAAGAAAACAATCCTATTTGGCTTATTGTTAGGGATTTTCGATTAACAAATAACAAAATAAAAACTTTTTAAGTTTAAACAAAGTACTGATTGTGCAAATTATTAAATTTGAAATGTTTTAACAGTAACTCAACTTTTTTGTTTGAATTAGTTAATCGAGAACTAATAGTCATACAAAAATTAAATCACTACGTAAAAAAAAGAAAAGTAAAAGTGTAAGTAAGTAAAAAGTAAGAAAAAAGAAAGCTAAGCTTTTCCTAAAATCTGTTAAAGATAAAAAGTAAAAAAAGACAAGATTAAGAATCAAAAATAGTCGACATCTGAACATTATTAGTATAGGATTTCTATTTTCTGCTTCAAATCACATCATTGCTATTTTCTGCTTTAAACTATATTATTTCCATATTAAAACTTTACTTTTCAGTTGTTTATTGAAACAAAAATGTCGAAATTTTGGGATTTCGAATCGACCCTATCCTTATGTGATGGGATCATGAAGATTGCACCGCTGTGTCAAGGGGTATTCCGGCCCGAAAATGTTATTAAAATAGCCGAAGCAAGTGACTGATTGTGAATATGGAATTGATTTCCTGGAACCACGACTATTTATTTAACAATCGTACGGTACAGTACGGTACTGTAGATCCAGCAGGTACACAACCAGTACAAAATTCAATTTCAATAAATTAAAAATCTGTTTTCAACAAATTATAGTGTGCATTCCAGATAAATCAAAATATCTTTAAAGGGGTATTCCGGCCCCAAAATTTTCCTAGAACCGGAAATTGGTGAATCGGAAAGGCCCTGTATTGCTTCACGACAACGCTCGCCCGCACATTGCAACCAAAACCATCAAAAAATTGAGCGAGCTGGGCTACGAAATTCTTAGTCACCCGCCTTATTCACCAGATCTTTCTCCTACGGATTTCTACTTTTTCAAGCATCTATGCCATTTTCTAGAAGATAAACAGTTCAAGAATCAAGACGAGGCCGAAAACGCTTTCCAGGAGTTTATCGACTCGAGAACGCCAAATTTCTATTCTGATGGAATTGGAAAACTTGTTTCGCGTTGGCAGCAGTGTATAGATGCTGATGGTTTTTACTTTGAATAAATTAATTTGTTATTGGCTTTTAGTTTTGGGCTTGAAGTTAGAGGCTCCAAATTTCGATTATTTTCCCACCAACCTAATAGTAAGCTAACTAGTAACCTAACTAGTAACCTAACTAGTAAGCTAACTAGTTATTTAAGCTGCAGACATTTAACTTTTCAGTTCCATTCAATTAAACCCCCACAAAAGCTGCAATGCATCAATTTGAGCCTCACAAAATAATATAAATAAATATAATAATACTTTCTTCAAACGATAAAGTGAACGAAATCATAGAGAAATGCACAGTGATACTTAATCATACAATACATACTGAAATCAATAAGCCAATTACTTACGGCAAAGAGCCACTAGATCTAAAGCATCGATACGTTTCTTGAATATGAAAAGCGACTGAATTTCTCGTATGTCGTTTGGGAGCAAGTTCCATAATCTAGCGGCTCTAACGGGAAATGAATTTGATAAAGAGGCATTGGAAGCAAAGGGAATTTGCAAAAGGAATGAGCCACTTCTGGGCCCTGACCGCGGTTTAAATTTGAAAAAGTCTATAAACAAAGGGCTAATCTGTTTACAACGGAGGATTTTGAAAGTTTCGACTAAATCAATGACAAAGCGACGATGCTGTAAAGTTTTTAGTTCAAAAAAAGCAAGTCTCTCCTCATAAGTTAAGCTAGAATATTTAGAATAGTCAATTTGAATTTGAATAGTCAATTCAATTTTTTTCAAAAAAAAGAAAAGAAAATTCAAAAGACATGTAAAAAAAGCTCGCGGAGAAAAAGGATCACTCGCGAAAAACCTTCACATTTCGACCCTGGATGCATTTGTGCTTTTGAAGAAGTGTTTCCAGCGAACATGTCGGTGTAAAAGTGCTTCTACACGGACCTGTTACTTTCATTTAAAACAATCTTTCAAAAGAAATGTGGAAAAAGCTAGAATCTAGAATAGAAAAAGAAGCTAGAAAATAAGAAGTTTTGTCTTTCTTTTGTCATCTTTTATTAAGTTTTTAGCCTTTTCTACCTCTTCTTTACATCTTTTTTTTTGTTTTAACACTCTCTACAACACGTAATAATGAGTTCCAAAGAAAAAAGTCTTTAGTTAATTAAAGTTAACGGTTTATTAGTTGCGCCTGAAAGATATTTAAGAAAACAGTTTTGATTTCAATATTCAATATCTACAGATCAACAAATTGTTTAAAAAGTAAATAAAGCAAAAGAAAATTGTCGTTCATTTAAATCAGTGTCTATTTCCCGAGGTGTCCACCCAGAGTTCGCCCATTTTAGTGACCGCCAAGTCGCCGTTCTTTGTCGCAATCACACTCTCATTACATCCCACCGGATGTCCTTCGGCTATCCAACTACAAATAAATACTTTCACTTTTTAGAAAAAGAAAATCTCTTGCTTCTCATCTCTTTAGTTCCTCACTGCCCGTTATTCAAAAATAGTCAAGAATTCATGTATCAAGTCAATGAGTATTATTGTTATGGTATCACCAGCTGTGCTGGGCGGCCGCACAGATATTCTACCTAGAGGTACTGAGGGCACGTAGCACAAATCTGTTTGCAGATTCGGATTCCTTGCTCTCGAAAATATCCAAGTACAAATTTTCAGCTTTTTAGCTCACTTCGTTGTAATTTTACGTGCGTAATTTCTATTGTCGTGTAGGCGTGACGGACGAACAGACGTTTTATTTTTTTGTATATAGTAGATATCGACTAAAAATGTTTAACGGTTTTAATTTTACTCAACGATACTCTAACTTCAAGTACGCATTTCTCCGCCCTCAAACAACTAATCGACTTTAAAACTTTTTCATTGAAAAGCTTAGATTCTTAGCTTTCTATTGGTATATAACACATGACTAATTTTACATAGTTTAACGCACTTAACGATACAGAAAAGTGTGCTCAGTTAACGATACTCAACGATGCATCCAAATCGGTAAGCTATTAGGAAATTTTTTTTGAAAAATTAGTCATGTGCTATAGAACAATAGAAAGCTGAAAACCTAGGCTTTTCAATGAAAAAGATTTGAAGTCGATTAGTTGTTTGAGGGCGGAGAAATGCGCGTTTAAAACCCCAAAAACTTTCGAGCATCCTTAGCCAAGTCTAATATCAACGAACTCGAGTCTTCCGTTGTGCATTCGGTAAATGGCAATATATTTCGTGGTGGCACATCCCTCCTTCTTGAAAGGAATCGCTGATCTCGAGCCGATACGCGTGAATTGCGAGTTCCGATTCAGCTCGCCTCCATCGGTGATCGTATCTGGAAATTAATTTCGTTTGATAGGAAGATGAAAAGTTTCCAACACAAAATTATGTTTTATGGGAAAAAAGATAAGAAAAAAAACGCAATCAAAAATCTCAGAAAAATAAAACTACAAAATTCTATATTTATTTTATAATTGTAAGAAAGGTTTTTTAGACTAAAACTCTGTTTTTTTTGCTGGCAATTTAATCAATCAGTTCCTTTGGGAATCTTTAAGTGTTTTTCATAGTTAAGTGTTTCCCGATAAATATTCCCGAATGGTGGAATGTTTGCATAAAAGTCATTTATCGTAATTTGGGGCCAAGACAGTTTACAACTTAATAGATATCATAAGAGAGCATGTAGCTTACAAGCTGACTTTTTATCGTAGGAGAGCATGTCAGTTTAAAAGCTTTCTTTCCATTTTTTCCAATCGATGCAACACGGGAGCACTTCCAAAATGAAGAAGACCTCAAAAAGTGGCCCCAAAACTATTTTAACTCTAAATCAAAAATTTTCCACTAATTGCCAGTAAAATGAACGAAAATGATCGCAAATAATGGAGAATATTTCGATTAAACTGCTCTTTTGGTTATTAATAACTATTGTTCTGAATTTGGGGCCAAGACAGTTTACAACCTAATAGATATCATAAGTGAGCGTGTAGCTTACAAGCTGACTTTTTTTCTCTTGTAACTACCAAAGATAGTTTTTTCAAATCATACTGCGAAATCATTTATTTTTCAATTCCCTTACAATCATTGGCTGGTCGACAAATGTTATTCGGTCCGCAACGTTTCCAGTTTCGTGGACAGCCTCGATCGAAAGATTTCTGAAAAGAAAATCAACAGCTTGAGCAGAAAAACGAAAGAAAATCTAATTTTTATGTATTACAAAGAGACGACAAACCATGAAACGACTCGTGCAATCACAAATCTGGAAAATGCATTGCTTTCCTCCACAATCCGAGTCATTTTCACACACTTCACACTAAAAAGATTCCGAATGAATTTAATGTGCATTTTTTGAAATTTTCATTTATTTTTTATAGCAGAACATCAAGAAAACAATCTTATTTGGCTTATTGTTAGGAATTTTCGATTTTTTAAGTTTAAACACAGTACTGATTGTGCAAATTATTAAATTTCAAATGTTTTAACAGTAACTCATTTCACAAAACAAACAAAAACAAACCGAAATTATCGCATTCGAAATAGTGACCAAAAAAGCAAACAACAAAAGAGTTAGAAGTTGCATTTTCAAGAGAAAATTGACAACTGAATAGCTTTTCATTCTTTTTTTGATCTTTTAAGTAGACTATATTTGGACTACCTTGTAGAATTGATGTAGTTGAAAGCAGAAAATAGAAATAATATGGTTGAAAGCAGAAAATAGAAATAATATGGTTGAAAGCAGAGAATAACAATGATATAGTTTCAAGCAGAGAATAGCAATGATGTGGTTTAAAGCAGAAAATAGAAATGATATGTTTTAAAGCAGAAAATAGAACTGATATGGTTTAAAGCAGAAAATAACAATGATATAGTTGGAAACAGAAAATAAAAATCCTATACTAACTGTCTGCAATGTTCAGATGTCGACTATTTTTGATTCTTAATCTTGTCTTTTTTTTACTTTTTATCTTTAACAGATTTTAGGAAAAGCTCAGCTTTCTTTTTTCTTACTTTTTACTTACTTACACTCTTAATTTTCTTTTTTACGTGGTGATTAAATTTTTTTATGACTATTAGTTCTCGATTAACCAATTCAAACAAAAAAGATCAACAATTTCTGAATAGAATTTATCTTTTTTACCAAATAAAAAACAAATGTTCATTGATAATTCTGTTTCAGAAATAAACAAAGCCACTAAATAGAAATGTTTTAAGAGATGATGGATGGAAAAAGGAAAGGCATATCCATCAATTTGTTGCAGATTGTTTTGTTGTTTTTGTGTCTTTCTCCGAATCATTGACATAAGACGATTGATGAATGATCCGTTTTCCTCGATAGAAATCTTTAATCGAATGGTTTAAAGTCAAGTAGATCAACGCTGAGATTCCTGAATGTTTTGATGATTGAAACAAAAAAAATACAGGTGTTTGTAACGTGTTGGCACTGTGAGTCATGAAATTTTGTATTAACTCAATTTGCTGAATGCTAATCGTCAAGTCAACAGTGCCGAAATAGTTACATTATAACTACTTTTGTTACTTGTAAAAACCTGTTGTTGTTTGCCAAGCAAAATGAGCCGTGATGGCCATTTCAAGAGTGGCTACGTTGAAAATTTGAATGTAAACATAGAGCCACGAGGCGATCATTGCCGGGAGAGTGATGAGAATCGCTTGAACAAGAGCCTTAAATGAATCATTTCTTTTAATATTTAAGAAAATGATCTATTATATTTGATTATTAACTTTACAACGTACATTCATTTCCTTTTTTGAAATCTTTTTCCTGTCACCACGCTTTCTCGCTAACAGAAGAAAGATTAGGAGATATAAAGTGAACATGATCACACCGACTCCCACATTGTGATAGACGTGGGTGATGTTGAAGTATTTCGGGAGTTCCTAAGGAAATTTTTGTGTTTTATATTATTAGAAAAGGTAACTTACTGTAAACACTGTAATAGTACCCGACCGCCATAATGACGGTGCGGAGTGTTGCGTAGTCTAGCTTTGAACGAGTTTTTCTCGACACTGGTTTATACTACAATGCGCGTTTAAATATCAAAAAATAGCCCTGAATTTCAGCTATTTTTTGATACCAAAGACGCATTTTTTGAAAGTACGAGCGCTTTGAAAAAAATTCAATACTAAAAACTTTTGCGACTACGCGACTGTACAAGGGCGGTGGGGTACTATTACAGTATTTACGGTAAGAATTTGCACTTCTGACAGTGAAAGTTAATGTTAAATTCAATTTTAAAGCAAGAAAGCCGAAAGTAAGCAGACGTTAAACGTTTTTCTTTAGAAAAATTGATTCTATTCAATAATATCCCAACAAAGGTACAGTGGATCAACTCAAATAGAACAACAAACAAATAATTAGGTTCGTTCGTAAAGATTCCGGCTTTCTGATAGAAAAGTCGGATCCTTTCTTCCATTTGTTCTTTCTCCAATATAATTTGCCTCGAACTATTGAATAACCGGTTCAAATCGGCTATCTAATTAGTCTGCTAGCCGATCCCATGTGATAGATCATGCACCCGAACAAAGGCAGTAGCTCTAATCATCTGAAATTGCTAACAAAGATCGCCATTTGGTTCCACTTTTCACTTGATTCTAGCTTTTTTCACATGTCTTTTGAATTTTCTTTTCTTTTTGTGAGGCTCAAATTGATGCATTGCAGCTTTTGTGGGGGTTTAATTGAATAGAACTGAAAAGTTAAATGTCTGCAGCTTAAATAACTAGTTAGCTTACTAGTTAGGTTACTAGTTAGGTTACTAGTTAGCTTACTAATTAGCTTACTAATTAGCTTACTAATTAGCTTACTAATTAGCTTACTAATTACCTTACTAATTACCTTACTAGCTAACTAATTCACATGAGATAATTAGCATAAAATTTGTCTTTTTAACTTTTCAGATACTTGTTCAAAGGTTCAACTTTTCAGATACTCACTATGTTTAAAGGTTCAATGACCGGCACATAAAGTGCCCCAAAAGCTCGACTGTTGAAGGGAATCGATCTTCGGCCTGTCCAAAAGGCATACAGTAGTCCAATTATCATCCAGAAATATAAAGGAATTTTCTAAAAATTTCTTATAACGATCTTTTTTTGGTTAACTGACTTCAAAAGACTGTTTAACAGAAGGATTGTTGATGACGATGATCAACCGATTGACAGCCAAGAAAATGTAAAGATACGAAGCTATTGACCAGATGACTAAAATTTGAGGATCTAATTTAATTTAATTTAATCAAATCTAATCTAATCTAATCTAATCTAAAGTTGTCGAAGTCTTTTTTCTTGTCGAAGTCGTTTTTCTAAAATAACTGTAAGACAAACTGTAGCTGTAGGCTCCACTGATGTACGAGAAGACGGGATTGCTGCAGAAGACTCCACCAACCGAAAAAACGTAGCCGGCGATGAACGAATTGACAAAAATGTTCCCGATGTCCGCCATAATCAAACAGAACATTATCTGAGATTTCTTTGTTTTACGTTTTTACTTTTTTACAATCACTTTATAGCACTCGTTTCTCATCAATCGCAACTTGACCATCGCGTAGATTGTGGGCAAATAGAGGACCTGAAATGGCAAATGAGGCAAATTTTAAGACAACATTTGTAAACGTAATACTCAGCTCTATTTTGAGACTTTAGTATTTTTTGAGCATTCAATTTTCTAGTTCTTCAAAAGGTTAATTGGCTGACAAATGCCAATGACCAATGCGATCGAGCTGCCATATGAATTCTAATTTTAAGAAGAAGGGAAACAAGCGATATTTTAAAATTTTGTGTGTCACAAAGTAGTCCAAAAACATTTAAACACAAAAGAAAACTAGAAGAATAGCTTGTTTTTCAACTACAAAATATAAAGATGAGTAAAACTTTGTGATGATTCATTCTGGGGGTATTTAAAAGGAAAACACTTAGCCAATATCAAATTAAAATTTGCTACTCTTGTCAATTTTATAGGGTTAGATTGTAATCTTTTTATCTATTGTTATTAAATTGGGATTAGCTCTTTTGAGACTATAAAAGTAGGGTCACTAGCATTTAATCTGCTACCTTAATCAGGGCAATCATTATTTTCCAGTTAAGAAATTGACGAATTTCTTAGCTGGAACATGTGTAACAAAATGTTGCAATCAGATTTTTGATTTACCGATACGCAATTTTTCTTCTTTTATAGTGTAACCGATGTGTTAGGCTACAATTTTTCGGCTGTTGGGTAAAATCCCGGACTTTTGTAGGAATTCGAAAGTTTTGATAAATCAAAAACCACAAATCCTTTATGTATTGAAGTTATCGTGCTATTGCTGCAATTGCAATTGCTAAAAATAGAAACTGTTGTGCAAAATGTACTGGAAAATCTGCAAACGCAATGAATTTTTGGTTCAATAGTTTGTGCTAAATCCAGCCGATATTTGCTGGTGAATGGATGCAATGAATCGTAGAATTAACAGCCGTGCCACTTCTGTTTTTTGGTTGTTAGGTGTGAATTGAGATTAGCTCTTTTGAGACTATAAAAGTAAGGTCACTAGCATTTAATCTGCCACTTTTACAGACTAACAAACTAGAATTTGTTATGTTAAAACATTATTAAACAATTGTTAAAACATTACATTTGTAATGTTTGTTACCCATTTTGTTACCATCAATCTTTCAATCCAATAGATTTCAATCCAAAAGATTCAACCTCAATTTCGTCTTGTTTGGAATGATTGTGGAGATTTGAGTAAACAAGTTTTGAATTAAGATGATAGGGATCAGATGCGAGCTTAGAACATACTATCAGGTTGGCTGGAGGTCGGCTTGACCAGTGCCTATGGGGTCAGATTTTTCGGACTTTCTGCAAAAGCTAAAAAAAATATAAGTCAAGTACTATACATATGAAATAATATCGAGGATGTAAAGTTTTTAAAGCAATCTAAACGTTGACTTTTCTTTTCAGAGTTTGACTTTCCAATTCGACTTTAGCCAGTTGTCTAGCTTTTTTTAAAAACGACAATGCTAACTAAACACAAAGTTGATCAATTTCAATTTTTAAGATTATTTCTGAAAGGAAAACAAATGTTTTAATGTTTAAAAGTCAAGCTCACAATGTACAAAGTGCCGAGAATCATCAAGAGATGTCCAAGAAACGGCCATTTCTCGCCGGTCAACATCCATTCTTCGTACGTTTTCCCCGAGCAGTTGTAATAAGACGATGGATAACCCATCAAATGTCTGATTGTCTTAAACAAAAATATACAATAAAACTCCTCAATTACCCAATATTTCACGTTAAACTATCTTACATCCATTTTTCAGAGTCGAGTGACGAAAGTAAAAAGCAAAGCGAATTCTTCAAAAAGCAAAGATGATGTTGCAATTTTAGTGAAAAAAATGGAGCTTTCCTTTACCTAAAAATGGTTTTAAATACATTTCTGTGGGAAAATAACGAACCAAAAAACAAAATTTTTACAAAACGGAATGCAATTAACGATCCTTTCAAAAATCAGGAACAAAGAAATTACTCATTTTTCGAATTCTTCTTTCTTTTACACGAATCTTTGGCCTTCATTAGAGAAAAAAGAATAAAGAAGAAGAAGACTTTAAATAAAAATAGAGATTTCTGAATGGAAAAGCTCAAACATCGAGTGTGCTTTCGTCGGCGGCCCATAGCTCAACAAGAACACAAAAGATCTCTAGATTCTAGTTTTCTCAGTAGTCGCCGTTCGATTTGGTCTGTTTTAACCCGAAATTTTGACCCTGGAACAACCCTAACAGTATGCGATCAATAAATAAAATGACAGCACATTTTCATTTCTTTTTCCAATGAATGTCATTTTCGCCGGAAAGTGTTGTCCGCCTTTTTGAAATTTTCGTTTATAAATGAATAATTAGATGATCAACGTGTTGTTTGCTTTAAATAAAAAAGATTAGCTATTTCATTTAGCTCATCTTTAGACAAATTTGAGTCCACTTTGAAGCAAATCGTTTTTGATTTCTCGACTTCATACATTTAAAAATTAACTAAAGCGAGCTTTTCAGAATTTCTTAAAGGGTAATTTGTAAATAAAGTAAAGGACTTTCTGATAAAATAAACCATAGATTGATTGGTTCATTATTTATTTCGACAAGTAACCTTTAAAAAAAGCGAACAAAACTTTCCAGCCAACCTGCTAGTATGTTCTAAGCTCGCATCTGATCCCTATCATCTTAATTCCAAAACTTGTTTACTCAAATGTCAACAATCATTCAAACAAGACGAAATTGAGGTTGAATCTTTTGGATTGAAAGATTGATGGTAACAAAATGGGTAACAAAATGGGTAACAAACATTACAATAACAAATTCTAGTTTGTTAGTCTGTAAAAGTGGCAGATTAAATGCTAGTGACCCTACTTTTATAGTCTCAAAAGAGCTAATCCCAATTCACACCTAACAACCAAAAAAACAGAAGTGGCACGGCTGTTAATTCTACGATTCATTGCATCCATTCACCAGCAAATATCGGCTGGATTTAGCACAAACTATTGAACCAAAAATTCATTGCGTTTGCAGATTTTCCAGTACATTTTGCACAACAGTTTCTATATTTAGCAATTGCAATTGCAGCAATTGCACGATAACTTCAATACATAAAGGATTTGTAGTTTTTGATGCTTTAATTAAATTTTTTGGACTGGGATTCACAAACAACTGACTTGCTTGAAATGTGCTTGAAATTTCCCTCGTCGATTGTTTTGTTCGTCAACAGGATATGTTTGACGATGGACTTCTCGAATTTGCTTGGCGTCTTTTGGCATTTAGTTGTTGTAGTCCTCAAGGAGAATTAGTGTCGTTTCAAGAATTACTCCATCCATCCGTGGCTCCTCTTTAAAGGAATCGACTCATCAGCAAGATCCGTGGATCTGAACAAGCTCTAAAATAACATTAATGCAGAAACAAAGCTTGGTTTCTAAAAGGTTAAAAGTGCAAAAAGGATGGGAGAATGTTTTACGTTACTTTTTTCCGCTAGTTTTTGTTAAAAAATGTTTCATTAGACAAAAGAAGTCATTAAATTTTACATTAAAAAGTTCGTTTGAAGTGTTTGACTTTTTAAGCAAATTTGAGTCTAACTTAGTTTGAAATTGACTAGAATACTATTTTCCCCAAGTAATCCCCAAAAAGAATGATTTAAACGAAATTTGGCTACCTAAAACTCTAAAAGAAAGTTTCTTTAATCGGCGATAAATTTCTCGAAAAAGCCCAGATTTTTTTAAAAGTCCCAGATTGTTTCAAAAGTCCCATATTTTTCCAAAAGCCCCATATGTTTCCAAAAGTCCCGGATTCTACCCAGGAGCCGAAAAATTGTACCCTAGCACATCGGTTACACTATAAAAGAAAAAAAAATTGCATATCGGTAAATCAAAAATCTGATTGCAACATTTTGTTACACATGTTTCAGCTAAGAAATTCGTCAATTTCTTAACTGGAAAATAATGATTGCCCGATTAGGCTTCTTTTGGTAAAAATCGATAGATTCTCATCAAATTTCATAACAAAAATAGTCCAATTGGACAATCTAGAGGCTTTCGCGTCAGAAAGCTACCTAATTTGGCTACCTAAAACTCTAAAAGAAAGTTTCTTTAATCGGCAATAAATTTCTTTTCGGCAAAAACCCAATCTAGACTAAATACCGTAATGGAGCTAATCTAGACTGAATACCCAATCTAGACCGAAGACCGTAATTCAGGTATTCAGTCTACAATAGCATTTTAAAAAAAGCGTCGATATCAGTATTGAGCCTATAGAATCGAAGGGATTGGTATTTCCGGTTTCGATAAATGTAGTACATAATAATACGTGAATTGTTTCTTTTTCAGAACACCCATCCAATCCTGTAGCTACGTTTCGTTTTTCTTTTTCTTAAAAGCTGAAATAAATGTAGTCGTTTCCCAAAAAATGAATAGCTTTCTTTCAGTTATTTTGAGTCTTCCGTTAGGACTTTTTGTGTACTATTCATTTGCTGTATCTCGATTTTAAACGTTTTTTTTGCTGTACAAAGATGATTTATTAGTTCAGTTTGGGCACATTGACATGTGATTTTCCTTTCCGTTCCTCTTTGATCTTTTCTTCAAATGGGCATTGAGGTGGTCCACAAGCTTTCACTTTCGGCACTTCTTCCTCAACACTCGGGCATTGTGGCAAGTGACAGGCATGAGGGCATCCACAATAGTCTCCAACCGCTCTCTAAACGCCTTTTTCTTCGAGATTCAGTGACATTTGATCCTCAAAACCTTTCATTTCTCGTGATTGGCTAAACCTATTTGGTTGGTTTTAACACCAATCGATAGATCTAGTCATTACCTATCGATTGGTACTAAAATCATCTAAATCGGTTCGGTCAATCGCGAAAAATCGAAGGTGGAGTTTGGAGCTTCTCGGAAAACGGAGATAAAATGTTCAATAGTCTTTTTTCGAATCTAACAAGATCTAAAATAAACAAAAAAATAGGTAACTATTTTCTGGACTCTCAAAATATTTTTGTCTATGAATAAAACTTGAAAATCAACTCACTTCTTTTGGCATACAGTAAGCAATGGAAAGGACAGCGATCAGACAAAGGAGGATTCTCATCTCTGAAAAGTACGTTTTTGCAGAAGACACTAAATTCGGTAAAATATAGTTACGTCCAAGATACAGTTCTGATAAAACAGTTTAATATATCAAGTTTGATTACGCCTAAATTTTGCAAGCTTGTCACACTGAGTGTTTTAATTTTTGCCTACAAGTGCTATAGTTGTCTAGAAATCTGATATGTCTAGAAATTTAAATTTAAAGAAAAATTCAATTTTAAAAACGGTAGAAGATTATTGGGAAAGGGTTTTCTTCAAAAAAAAACGAAATCAAGCTTTATTTATGGCTTTCAAATGATTGATAAGACTTACTGATTTCGAGGAACCACCTTTCTCTTCACATAAAAAGCCCAAATTCAATCCTCTTTCACTGATTGGAAAAATGACGCCAGGTCTATTGTGTTGATTTCAGAGAACGCTTGGGGATTATTTTTAGATTTCTCAGCAAAGTCTCATGTTATGGCCTGATTCTCGAGTTCCAGAGTAATTTTAAGCAAGTACAGAGAGCAACAAACATAAAAAGACGCATTCTTATTTGCAAGTTTTTGAAATTATTATTTTTGATATCAAACAGCAGAATGATATATGTATTTAAATAGATCGATTATTGGAAATTGAATCCCTTTTTGTATTTCATCTACTTATTTTAAGTGATTTTAACTCACGATTAGACAGAATATTCATTTTGTTCTTCTAAAGACACAATCGACTTTATTAAAGTTTCTTTTTCAAACAAATAAAACAGTTCGTTAAAACACAAAATGAGGCAAAATGACAAAAAGATCAACAGCAACATCTAACAAACGTCCCAATTAGACCATTAATAAGCTACGTCAAGCTCCTAAAATGTCAAGTTTACTAAAATGGCCTATATCCCAAAACGTTATGCAATTTTGAAAGCAAAAAACTTGGTTAACAACAGATTACAAATTGTTATTTCTATAAGCAGCATTTTAAATCCTTTGAGCATTAAACGGATTAAACGAAAGCATCGAGAACGATCAAATCCTGGAGGATTTATTCAGTGTGAGAAGCGTTTCAAAGCGGACATTAGTAGTACCATGTACTTTTCAAGAAATAGCAATGGACAAAATGTACAACATGAAAACTTAAGCTTTAAAATACATTACAAATTTATAGAGAACAAAATACAGATTTTAATTCAAAATCGGGACAAAATTGTGCATTATTCCACGTCATCATACCGCCTATATAAGCCAGCTTCCGGGCCGGGCACTAGTCGAACCATGGAGATACTAAAACAATTTTGTAATAGATATTTTCATTGAATGCGTTTCATACGTTAGAAAAACATGCTAAAACATACTCAATATGGCCTATTCCATCACTGCAAACACAAAGCTGAACAACGTCCCCATTTGCCCTTTTCAAAGCGCGGACATCTTCGATGTAGCCCTCGCCGCGGAGCCGTTTAACAACTTGCAATCCAGGTAAGTTGCGCAAGAACTAAAAATTGCACAATTTTACCGGAAAAACTACCAATTGCTTTGAATCGCTTTTCAATGATTATCTAGGCTATCTAGGCTATCTAGGCTATCTAGACTAGAGTAGTTAAGTCGATCTTGCGTTTTTTTTTAAACTGCATCATAACTGCAAAATAAGAAGGTTAAAAGAGCTCACATTTTGACGTTCTGCTTCCCCTCCAACTACTCGAAGGCCAATTTGATCAATTTGACGCTCTGAAGTGTACCAGTCTTGGATCATCGTTAGAATCCCATTCAGAGTGCACCCGAAGCTTGTTTGAAAATGACCGTAAAAAATCAAAGGAGTTGAGTCCAACAAGATCTAAACAATAAATATTATGCGGAGCAAGCGTCGCAACAAAAATTGTTCATTGGCAGTTAAATAAAAAGAAACCGTGTCATTTAGTGGATCAACCATGGCATTCCCGGAACCAACCAATCGAACTTCTTGCAATCCAATCGCATAACTATTCGTGAAAAAGTCTCTCGTAACAGGAAAATTTTTGTTGTCCCCATCCGCCTAAATCAGCCTAATTTTGTTCCGTTCAATACAAACTTACCGAAATATCTAGCTTGCGTGTTGGTCTTATACTGTGAAAAATATCTATGAATCTTTCCCGCGAAAGATTCGTTCCAAGGACAAAACATGACAATTCTTCGCATTCGAACTTGCAATTTGCAAACATGTCCCAATTGACATCCCGCTAAAAGACAGATTTTAAGTCCCATGAGATATTACGGAAAACTAACCAAAACGAGGGTGCTGAAGATTGCACGTTCTTTTAAATACTCCAAATGTTGAATTAAGTTAGTTGGATCGATCGTTTCCGCATAGTCATTCCTTGCTCTCTCACTTATTAAAGGCCAAAACTAAACCCTAAACAAATGTTTTTGTAACCAACACACAATATCTTACCCTGTTACCATGAACATAAAGCACATTGATATAAACACGAGGAAGTCTTGCTCTGCGCAGCTCAACCTTTCTATAGCAATCCCTTGAGAGTTGTCGAATAGTACTAAAGCAAAGATTAAAGCTAGAAGATGAAGGCTGCTAACTTTTCGATGACCGATCCAGGAAGTTTCCCCATCACCGCATAGAAGACGACATCGGGAAGTTCTTCAAGGAAGTTGACAGAAGAGGTTGGTATGTGCTAAAGGAAAACTTGCACGAAACATCTACCGGAAAGCAATCACAAACCACAACATTTAAAACCAATTATGGCAAAACGTCTTACATTCAGTTGCTCTTTCTTAAAGCTTTCCATGATTTCCGCTCGGTTCGTAATCGTTGTAAAACACCCTTCTAAAAAAGCTTGTATAGAAGGGATGTAAAAAAATTACCGTAATACCTGTAATAGTCGCGCCCCCCATAATGACGTACAGGCGCGTATCTAATATCTAAGCGCACATTTTGCGTCGAAGCAGCACGGAGAACCGAGCGTCCCAAAATTGTGTGTTAGACTACGCGACAGTACGGGGGGCGCTACGACCACAGGTATTACGGTAGGTAAAATAAAGATACGAGATCGTGAAAAAAAGATAGAAGAAAGATGGGAAAAATGACAAAAACGTTAGTAACACCGGTTTATAAAGACTTTGCGGTTAGAGTATTCAATCCAACAAAAAAAATTTAAGAATTATGGGAAAGCGTATATAAAGGAATTGCATTGTGCTTTTTATTTTTATCACTTATTGGTTCATATAGTTTTTCTTTTAGCCGACCCTTTTTAATAACTTACCTAGTTTTTTTTCAGGTACATAAATGTGGAACTCACCAGCACAAAGCCCAAACAACGGTCGACACTCGAGTGGCTTTCGACGAGAAGGAATGCCGAGTATGAATTTTTTGAATTGAATCTAAATAAAGGGCTTTTTACTCGATCAAAGTCGGTTGGGTTTACTAAATCGTGTGAAGTACTAGTCCATTTGAGGATGTTTTGCCTTTTGCCAAACGCCTTTTTTAAGAGTATGTTAAGCTATTTATCCTGTTTTTAGAATCATTTTACAAGAATCCTGCCGTGGCCGAACTTGCCCACGATATCTTTTCACAAGGGTTAGAGGAAAATAAGGCCTTGGGTCAAAAGGCCGATGATGCGCTTTACTTTTATCGATGGGTAAGTGTCAATATAGGTACCTAAGTGAAATAGGTCAAGGCCTTAGGCGTAAAAAAATAATATCTTTTATAGATTAAAATACTTTAGAACAACTTAAATGTTTAGATAATGGCTCTTTCGAACGGTCAGCCTATTTCAATTAACTTGATCAAGGAAAATCTCCCTTTGTGAGTGAACTTGCCCAGGATTTTTATTATCAAGCTGTTTAGATGGGACAAATATTCTGACCGAGAAACTCCAACTTCTGACAAATTTAATCAATGGAGTGCAGCGTTAGAGGTAGCTAGTTTTTTTAATGTGTTTTTCAAATCAAATAATTCTTTTTAGGACAAGTATTCGTTATGTTCAATGCTTCGCGAGAACGATGGCTTTGTCACTGGAAAGCAGTCATCAGATGAATGCAATCTGCAGTTTTCGTTTGTCAATTTCTTTTTCGATAGCATCTGCTGCTAGATTGGAAGACGCGTTCGAGAAAGCTTTACAATTATACGGAACACCTGTGGAAGTTCAGCGAGAAGAAGCTAAAATACGAAAAGTTTGTTTTCAAAACCATTTAGCTCATTCTTGACTATTTTAACTTATAAAGCACGCTGTTTTTACAGCTTTCAGGTTTAATTTGGGATTTCTAGCTAGATTTAACAAAAAATTGCAATTATGATTTAGGCGTTGGAAATCGAGAAGCTTGAAGCCAAGGAAGCATTGAAGCTAAACCCTACACGTTCATTAACAAAGCTTTTGGATCTACCACTTGTGGATATCGACGTACCATTATCAAGTTTAGTCAGTAAATTAAGCGCTCAGATATCTTGTTCAGGAAACATCCTTCGAGATCGTGTAGAGCTATCAAAATTATTGCGCAGACTGTTGGTTGCAAATGGAGGGAAAATTGAGGTGCAGAATGCTTGATTGGGTGCATAGTATTGTTTTCAGTATTCGACTTTGCTGCAGCTTCTGGATATGGAACGGCATGATGATCAAAGCTTTTGGATGGAAACAATAACTCCGGTATGCGTTCGCAATAATTTTGACAACCTAGGTTTTAAAGGTTAGAGCGATAACAAAATGTTATTATTTTCTTTAGGATGTCCATGAATTTAATGGGTTTTATTGGGAAATCGATCCGAATGCTCCTGAGAAAGCGAAACGTCTTTTTTCAGCTGGTAAAAGGTTGGTTTGGTGGTGGTTGTGATTTTAACACATTTTTAGCTCTCAAAGTGACGCCGTGTTTTATTTTTGGCTCAAGCTCCGAGAACTTAAATTTGACGAGCAGGAAGATCTTCAAAAGGTATAAATGCATAACTTCAATATTTTACATGATGTTTTAGTTAACAACGACTCTAAACTTTATACCCCAAATGATTGCCTATTTCCTAGAGAAGGAGCTCGAGTTTGAAGAAAAAGTTAATATTTGCAAGGTAAACTACTTGATTTTTGTCAACTCATAGATTTCATTTTTAGATTTTCGATTTGGATCCCGACTCGAGCTTGGTGCTAATAGCTAAATTGTCCAGTGATGTTTTTACCTACGATAATGTGATGCACAGTGAGTTCAAATTCGCTAATCAGTTTAAATATTGTTTTGAAGGACTGGTCTTTCACAAAGAGAAGTGGGCCAAAGAAGAGAAGAAAACGACCGGTCTCGAAGATGATGATCAAGGTAAACCTTTAACAAAATACATAGGCAAGCGGCCAGCAAAAGTGCTTATAGATTTTTGTAAATTTTAGATGACGATTGATCTACGTGAAAATGTTAACGACGAGCATATTTATTGTTTAATCTATCATGTTGTTTGGTTAATTTTTTGGGTTTAAAAGAAAAGAAAAGGAATATACTGGTTTATTCAACCAATCCAAGCAATCAATCACAATATAGAAACAAATCCTACTGAAACCCTAACCTAAACTACTTAATGCCATAACAGGACTTCAAATTCTTAAATTAAGCATAACTCTTGAAAGTCAATAATCATATTGGGGCTAGTTAGCACAATGGAGCCATTGCGCGGTGGTGTAGTTGTAGTGCGTTCAGTTACAAAACCCAGCTCATTTTCTGGGACATTTGATTAAAGAAGAAGTGCAAAAGTGTAAACTTCTCTTTGCATAGGGCCAAGTTTTTCTTTGTACTCGTAGTATCGCAAAATGGGCGCATTTCCTCGGCAAAAAAACGAAAGGCTGATAAATTTTTTAAATTTCTTTTTTTGCTTTTGAGATTTTTGATCGAAAAGTATATCAGCAAGCAAAGGACATGCCTTCTCCGTTGCTTTTCCCAAGTTTCTTCTCTTTTCTTCAGTTTTTGCTGTCTTTAAAGAGGTAAATCCTTTGCCTGCTAGCTAAGAACTTGTTTGTAAAAACTTTTGTACAAACAGTTTTAGTAGTGGAAAAACGATGGTACTTCTCGTTGGATTATTTCTAATATTTCTCATCTCAAAGTTTTGTTGCTGACCCGATCGTGTTAGATGAGGATAATCCGTCATTTGCAATTCATGGACAACTTTACAAATTCTTAACTTAAGCATAACTCTAGAAAGTCAATAATCATTATTTTGTGGGTGACAATGCTGGTCAATGAAAGGAAATAGCCGTTTTTAATGGCTGCAGTTTATGTGCAAGCCAACCCGTAGTTTAATTTCAATAGGCACGGTGCGTTACGTTGCGTTACAAGATCAAAGTTAGAAGGTGACATCCTTCAGCTGTGAAATAAATTTAATCCGCACAAATAATTTGAATACAATCATCTCGTAAATCTTGGCTTTTGAATATCTTATGCTGGCTTCTTTTTCTATACTTACCTTCCATTGTTCTGGCAATTTCTTATGGAAACTTCTTATGATTTTAATACCAATTTGTAGATCTCGGCAATAACGCCAGGCAACACCGTTGAACATGACGTTTTATGACGACATGACGCCAAAAGTACGGCAATATTTCCCGAGTGTGCGTTTTAAAAAGCGTATTACTCGCGAGGAGCTATACATTTCGAGTGTGTCCCCCTCCCTGTGTCCCCCTTTTGCCTCCCTAAGTGTCCCCCTCAAAGTGTCCCCTTTTTGTCCCCCTAAAGTGTCCCCCCCCTAGTATCCCCCTATTTTTTTTCATATCAAATCACAACTTTTTGCTCTCCAAGGAAAAGGAACGAAAAGACTTTCTGGACAGCCTAATGATCACGAGGCTTGCTAATGTTTGCTTGTTTCTCTCACTTACTACGGTTTTTTAACATCTCCCTACATATACGTTATTTTGCCGATCATTGAGTTTAAAAAGTTAAAGCACATTTGGAGAGCAAAAAGTTGTGATTTGATATGAAAAAAAATAGGGGGATACTAGGGGGGGGGGACACTTTAGGGGGACAAAAAGGGGACACTTTGAGGGGGACACTTAGGGGGGACACTCGAAATGTATACGAGGAACACACTCTATTAGACAGTTAGTGGATTTTTGGGGTACAAAATTAACAACTTTTTATCCAGACACAATAAAAAAATAGAGTAACTAATAAATTGTATTTGGGGCTTTGTGGAATCTGTGGACTCAGCTCTATTCTCAATCTTTTTGTAATTGCCTTGGCTTCTGGAGGAGTGAAGCGTTGAGAATACTGAAATTTCTTGTTTTTTTAAATTACCAAATTTTCCTTGCCTTGAAACAAAGAAATAGAGAAGATTTTTGAAAAGATTCAAAAATGATCCGATAACGGAAGTGAGATATGGACCGCAGAAGAGCGAAGAAATGAAAGAAGGCACATCGAAGAATGCGATCAACACATTCATCAGCGAGGTGGAAAGCATCTAAAAACCTTGTTTTACTGTAAAATATAATAATATTCAATTCATTTATCAGAATAAGACTTGCACAGTCAAGAACTACTTGATTTTACGTTTAAAAGCAAAAAGTTACCACAAGCTACACTTGCCTGGAGGATTAAAAGTGGATAAAGTGGATCAAGAAGTCCAATACTTGATAAAGAAGGATTGATAAAGAAGGCTAATACTTTATGTAGACTAGAATTCGGCTTTGGATCAAGTTTTTCTTTGCTATAGATCGTTCTTCCAAATTTGAACAATTCCATTGAATTTCTAAAACTATTTTCCTCTCTTACCTGCCACATCAGCATTTCCTCGGCCCATTTAACAATTCCCATTTCTTTTCTTTTCAGCTAAACAAATCTTTTGAATTATTCCTTTTTTTTTTCATCAACCTTTTGCAAGTTTTTATTCGTCACAAAATCCATTCCAGCCATCATAAACCAGAAAGTCGTTTCTATGTCATTATGCGTGAAAAAATTCGACCAAAACACAGAAGTATGAGCCATCCCAATGCTGATGATGAATGGGAGCAAAAGTTGACATAATGTCCTAAATAATAATGGAGAATACCTTTTATATTAATCCTCTTTATTTATGGTTTTTTTTAAAATAAAAATTCGGGTCAAAAAATTCGCATTATTTTCCCGCCAACCTAATAGCTCAATGGAGCCATTGCGCGGTGGTGTAGTTGTAGTGCGTTCAGTTACAAAACCCAGCTCACTTTCTGGGACATTTGATTATAGAAGAAGTGCAAAAGTGTAAACTTCTCTTTGCATAGGACCAAGTTTTTCTTTGTACTCGTAGTGTCGCAAAATGGCGCATTTCCTTGACAAAAAACGAAACGCTGATAAATTTTTTGAATTCTTTTTTGACTTTTGAGGTTTTTGATCGAAAAGTATATCAGCAAGCAAAGAACATGCCTTCTCCGCTGCTTTTCCCAAGTTTCTTCTCTTTTCTTCAGTTTCTGCTGTCTTTAAAGAGGTAAGATAAGTGTAAATCCTTTGCTAAGAACTTTTTTGTAAAAACTTTAGAAAAACTTTGTAAAAACTTTATAAAAACTTTTGTAAAAACTAGTCGGCATCTTTCGATATCAAAAATATCTTCTCCTTAAAAAACGATGGTATTTCTCGTTGGATTATTTCTAATATTTCTCATCTCGATCATTTCGAAGTTTCTTGCTGACCCGATCGTGTTAGATGTGGATAATCCGTCATTTGCAATTCATGGACAAGAGCTATTTCTCAACGAGGGATGTCGAGAGAGACATGAGGTTTGTGTGGAGTGAAAACTCTTTCACTTTGTAATTGTGATAGTTCTGATTCTGGATCAATTTGCTTCAAGATCGAATACTAAATTGACAAAATTGACAAAATTGACAAAATTGACAAAATAGACAGTTGACTTGCATTGAACCTAGAAAGAAAGAGAAACAATCTGGTTTTCGGATCTCAAATCCATTATTGCACGAAAAAAACGAATTGCAAAGGCAATCAAGTATTTTCGGATTGGATTTGAAAGTCATTTCGGATTTTGGACATCCGAAAATTTGATTTTCAAATGAGCTACGATCACCTAAAGGCCTAATCCGAAAACAATGCCTAATGCCTAGTGCAAACAATGCCTAATGCTTAATTGTATCATTGTGTGCAAGAATGGTAAGCCTGGCAGGCAATTTTCGCTTTTTAAAAATAGCCAGGAAAATCTGATACTTAAAAGTCACGAATCTTAAACAATGCCAAACGTCATATCGATTTCCCTCTACCTCTACTGCTACGAGACAAGTAGAGTGTGCTCCTCTCAAATCATGTTTCTAAAAAGTGCTAAACTACCGTAATCTTAAGTTCTTAAGTAAAAAGTTATTTTCATTTTCTAAAGTTTCTTTTCTTTCGTCTTTTTCTTTTCGTTTTCTTTCTTACGTTCTTTCACTAAAGCACTGAAGCAATTGTCGATCAGGGATCACTAAAGGAATTGTCGATCAGGGATCACTAAAGGAATTGTCGATCAGGGATCACTAAAGCAATTGTCGATCAGGGATCACTAAAGCAATTGTCGATCAGGGATCACTATACAGAAAAAACTGTCCTGACACGTTGCTTGTCTTTTTTTCCTTCGGTTGATCAGCTTCTTCTCTTGTTTGTTGTTTCTAAAAAAAAATATTTGTTTAAAACTATAAAATTGCAATAAGAATAGAAAGAAAAAGAAGTAAAACTTTCAGAAATAATAAAAGAAAAGCGTTTAGAAGATGATTTTACTAACGAGCATCTTTTAGAAAACATGATTTGAACGATTTGATTTGAGAGGAATAGACTCTAGAGACAAGGGACATTTCAGGACAAGGGATTTCAAAAGAGTACTCTACGAATCGTTTAGCTCACACTAATCGGAAAACCGGGAGGCTCGTTTCTCATTGATTTCTCGAAAATTAACTGCACAGCTATACCCTATGGAATAGAATTGGCGAGTTTAACTTGAAAAGAATCACAAAATGAAAGCCGGCTCATTTTAGACGACAACATCGCCGCTATTCATCTGTGAGGACCCGATCCCGTTTACGGTTAATGAAATCACGCTGAACAGTCATGAATGCAGAAAAGTTTTGTGAGTTAACACAGATAAACTTAGAGTTTGGGGTGCGACCGGCTTTAACCTTGTCATCGGGAATGACTTTGCCTCAGAATAGCCGAGTAGCACAAAAAGGTTAAAAGGGTTTCCCCAAAACATAACAAGAACACGCAGCATCCAACATAAGGTTAATACTCGTGATAAGAGTACAGAACGGATTGATACTTCGTCGATGGCGACACAAATGTTAGTAAGTTCTTTCTACAGTGCTAAACCAGCTATCTAAAAAGGATTTAAAACCTGAAGGGTAGCATAAAGTAAATTGAATTTATAATTTTACTGTTTATTAGTACAGAACCAAAAATGAAACAATAGCCATTACAAAAACAGCAAAAAAAACAGAATAGAAACATCAAAGTCCCCCAAGAACGAAGGCCAATTGGCTTTATCAGCTTAGGCTTAGGCTTAGGCTTAGGCTTAGGCTTAGCCCAGGCTCATTACAAAAGCATGCGCATGAATAGAAACATCAAAGTCCCCCAAGAGCGAAGGCAAAAACCCCAACCCCAAAAAGGGCCAGAAGCTCTGCCAAAAAAAAACCCTCCTTCTGCAATAAAGAATAATTTCGGGAAGAGAGACAAAAAGGCGAAAAAATGTGACGCGAATAATTGCAAAATAGGAACGTAAAAAGGAAGGAAACGGATCCGACCTTAGATTAGATAAAAATGTAAAGATCTTAAGGCTCTGATCCATGAATCTTTTAGTCCCTATGATCCGAGCAATCTGGCAACATTACTCATCGTGTGCTCATTCAAAGTGGTAGCCGATCAGCTCGTCGTTCACCCTTTCGACAATAGCACCGATTTTGCCATCTCTTTTCGCGTTTCCGAATGGGTGGATGGTAAGATTTGTGTGAACAATTGGTCAAAATTATAAACAAAACCTTTCGCATGAAAGAACTTGAAAGAACATGAAAGAACAAGAAAGAACTCTCTTCTGAAAGATCGACGAAAATCGCTTTCATTTTTAGTTTCTCAAGATTTACTCGTCCTTCCAATCACTCGAGATCAACTCTCTCAGACATCATATTCGAATGTGCTCGTCCCTCCAAACACAATAGCAACTGTTGTCAACTATCCGTGAGTTCTGTTGTGACGTCAATTTGTCGATTAAGTGACATCGATTTGTCGATTAAGTGACGTCGATTTGTCAAATCGGATGTTTATCACAATGTGAATGTCAAATCGAATCCAATGATGGCTCGCAGAAACTTTTTGGTCAAACAGTTTCGGTCAAAAACTGTCAAACTGATTTTCTGGTTCAATACTAAAAGAGCCTTCGATTTTTTTCAATACTGAAAGAGCAAATTTGGCTGCATTGAAAGCTGCCAGAAAGTTCTTGTTCTTGTCTAAATTCGACTCGAGTGAATCGAAGGCTTGAACAAAGGCTTGAACAAATGCTTGAACAAATGCTTGAACAAAGACTTTTCTCCAAATTCAACACAAAAAGATAATTTTTTAGAGGAATCGCTGACTTTCACTGTAAACAACTTTTCTACATGGTTCCGATGCTGTTTGGAGAATATTTTCAAAGTGCTCACCAATGCTTATTTTATCAGGTCAAACTACAATCGCTTAGAGTCGTTTATAAAACTCTCTGATCAATAGTTTCTTAGGTTCAATAGTTTATAGTAGTACTCTCGTTTATTTAGTACTCTCTAGTTTACTCTCGGATCAATAGTTTCAATACTACTCAAAAAGACTCTACGTTTTTCGATTTTCGAATTGTCTAAATTCTAAGCAATGATTTCAATTTGTATTCTATTTCCCAGACCGATATCAATTGCACGGCTGAAGTGAATTGGCTGGTGAATCTCGGCTCGGCTTTGGGCACGACAAACACCTCAGGCAGAACAAGGAGCTACACAATTGGGTGAGATTTCATTCATTGCCATTTCATTCATTCATTTGCCAGAGCTTTACTGAACGAGAAGGCTATTTTCAAAGAGAAAACTCTCTTTCCAAACTCTCTTTCCAGCTATGACACTTTCGTGCCGATTCGTGGAAGAGCCGCCTCGATTGTCGTCTCGCATTCTTGCGCCTACTGTCTTGCCTTTAGGACGGACCCTGCGGAGAGTTAGTGACTGATTGCGGTGTTGGGAATTTCGGATTTGATTTCCGTCTTCCAAAAATGCTACCCGTTCCAGAATTGTTTGGATAGTTCAGGCAATTCATCGAATCTTACCATCATCAGTTACATGTCATGTTTGTTTTGTGATGTTGGCATGTTTCTGCATTTGAATTTCTTTTTCCATCTTCAAATCCTTTAAAGTGGCAACAACTAATGCTTAGAGTTGAGAGGAAATGTGGAAAGGAGGAGCAGTGGGGCATTTGCAGAGTTTCGGGTTAACGTATGTTCAGAAATAGAAAGTTCAGAGTTAATTCGAGCCCCAGATGTAGCTGCACATTAGTAGCTCGATATTCAGCGCGTCTCGAAAGACCATTAATGTGCAATTACTTATCACCAATTGAGATTCCAAGGAAATTTAACGGAAACCTTGAATAGCCTGTACAATGTGAACTCTTAGGTACCCTGCTTCTCGACGACCAGGAGGAAGCAACATTTGTGGGAATGTTGAACAGCTACAACTATGGATGGAAGTTTGACAATTCGGCTAGATGGAAGGATCCTCAGAAGTTCACGATTCTACACACGACCGTATTGCTGAACTTTGATCAATTCTCTCAAAATTATATGTTACGTCCGAATCTGAACTAGGGTCCGATTCAGAATCGGGTTCAGAATCGGGACATTAGTTCGGGTTCTGACCTAACATATGACATGACAAGTTAGAGCCGAATTTCAGCTCAACTTTGACTATTTGTACAACAAGATCACCGTGCTCGCACTCGAGGGCGGATCGCTTGAGATTACAAGCGCGGAATTC